CGCTGAGTTTGCGCACCCGACTCCAGCACGATGTGCTCCGGCTGCCACACTCCCGATTGGATCTGCGCCGCTACTATGTCAACGATGATGTGGTCAAGGCTCGTACCTCGCCCTTCTACGAGAACGAGCGGAACACGATTACGGTGCCCTTGATCTTTCTGCATTTTCCCCTCTTCGATCACCGCCAGCACTCCATTTTCCAGTACAGCTTGATGGGAGGTGTCCTGGCCCACGAGCTGAGCCACGCCTTTGAACACGAGGGCATCCTCTTCGATGCCGATGGCAATGAGTCGCCAGTGGGATTGCAGATTCGGGACACAAAAGCCTTCCAGAATGCCATCAAGTGTGCGGCCCAGACGCCCGCAGTGTCGCTGAAGGAGCGCTTGGCCGATCTCAATGGCCTCCAGCTAGCCTACGATACCTTTTTCGGATTGGATCACAACTCCCAGCTCTACACATATCGTCCCTATGCATTTGAGAGCGAATTCCAAGCACCGCAGCTGTTCCACCTTAGCTACGCGCAGTTCTTCTGCGGTATCCTGCCGCCGGTGCTCGGTCATGACAGGGACGATGTGCGTGTCAATGTGAACGTTGCAAATTTACGTCAATTCTCATTGGATTTTAAGTGTCCCCCGCCAGCAGTGCAGTCGCCTCCTGTGTGTGAATTGTGGCGCCCGACAGCATCATCTATTTTGGTTTCAGCTTAAGTACTCAAATCAATAAAAAGTAACACATTGTCCATGTTGATCGACTGCTTGATGCCATGTAATAGCTTGATATCTTTTTAGTTGTGAGCAGCCAGAAGATATTTGTGTATTAATCGACACGCAAGATGATCCGCAGGAAAATGCATGCAGTGATTTCTGCTACTCTCTCTCGCGCACTCCACTTTTGGGTAACTTTAAACAGTCACATTTCTATGTCACCGTTCACTAGGGTATCAGAAGTATTAATACTTTGAAAATTGGACAAAATCCATTGAAAGGGCCATTCAATTTGATTATCCATTGCATTTGACAGGTTATAGCTTTGCTGCAATCGCGAGTCGCGGCGTGCTTTTGGAATGCTAATGCCGCACAAAATGCCGGTCTCAGTGAGAGCTTTTTTGCTCTCCCTCTCTCTCAACCGTTGCTCATAGTAGAATCACAGCAGGTAGGGAGAACTCATAAACCTAAAGCTTATTTCATACATTTAAGCTCCCCGAAGAGTGGAATAAACGTACCTTTAACTGTTCTGCCATGCACATGCTTTTGCACCCTCCCTCTCCCTCTCTAACTTGCTGTGTGGGCGCAAAGCTTCTCCAGCCACACGTAGCCACAAGTTGTTGTGGGTGGTCGTGCTCCGGCACCGTTGTATCCTCTGCCCTCATGCTCTCTGCCTGTGTCTATCGCCCAATCTCTCTCGCTTTTCTTTACCATTGCGAAAGCTTTGGCTTCCATTCTCACTGTGTCCGCACGTTGGTGCTGTCTTTGGCCGCCATTGGCCACGTCTGGTAGTCTGTCGTCGGGAATCGCTATTGTCGTCACAGTTCGTAATCGTAATCTCGTTGGCGCTTTGATTATCTATTTAAAAGAGCAGAGCAGAGTAGAACAGAGCAGCGCAGCCTCCGCAGCATCCCAGAACCTGAGAAGAAGCGCCGCGGGCTTTATTATGTTTTCGTCACTCATTTTGTTATTTCCGATTCGGGCGGTTAATTAGGAAACAAAACATGCTTTAGGTGGTATAATGTCTTGCATTATGCTCCCAAGCTGAAGAACGGTTATCCCTGGGTCTCAAATGTGTCATTCCGTCATGTGCATATCCGCGTGTGTAATCCCAGTGTGTGCGCGTCTGTCTCTGTGTGTGATAATGATAAAAAGGCGATAAACAGTTAAAGCTTTAAAAAATCAACAAAATAAATAAAGAAGAGTCTAAAAAAAGCCAGAAGCAGAAGCTCAACTATCAACTATCAGCTATCAAAATTCAAAATTCAAAAATCAAAACCACATGTGAGTGCGAGGGAGGGGCGCTAATTTTGGCATTTAACAGTTAGTTTTTGAGCCACAAGCAGAGCGTGAGACCCTGAATTACCACAGGGAAGCAAAAACAAGAAAACAAAAAGTGAATCCCCATCAAAAAAAAATAATATCCATTCCTCACCCACGGCATAACGAATCAAGCAAACAACTGACCAACCGACCAAGTGGCCTCCTCCCCTACCCCATACACCCTCTCGACGAAGAGCACCACCTCTACCCATTGTCCGACAGATCGGAGCAGGCGTCGATCACTTAGCAGCTTGCTCCATTAGCAGACAATGCCCGAGTCCGCAAATAGACTTTAAATTGAAGAATAAACGTCTGATTAGACCCAAAGATTCCAGCCCCGCCCTGCCCCTCAGATTATCCAGCCGTTCGCCCATTTTTCAGCACGGCAAATGGCGAAAACAACATTTCAGTGTGCAGGGGGGACCTGTGTACGGCTGGATTCTAGTTTCACATTCACGGGATTTTATCAGAGACTCTGAAATTCCTTTTCTTCGTATATGCAAATGTTTGCTCCATTTGCATGTTTACGACTGGGCAGAACGAAAGTGTATGGACCCCAAGGGGATTGGGCTGGGGCAATCTGTGTCCTGTACAACTGGTACTCCCATTCTCTATCTCCCTCTCCTTGGTCCAGCATCCTGTAACCTCTGAACTATCTACATGTTCTACCTTTTCTAGGGGGGTGTCTATGAATGGGATTATTCTAGCAGTTAATTCTCTTCCGCCGGGGGCACAGAATTGCAATATTTGTGCTGCAAATCTCATGCATATTCCAGATCTTGTCCCCCGCCCACTACCCCAGCGTTTCTTTTGTTTTTGTTGACTAAAGATAAACGAATGCAACAGGCACCGACAGCGGCAGTCCCAACCCCAACCCCAACCCCAACCCCGTGCTCCACGCCCCATCCAGAGACCAAAAATAAACAAAACGTACAAAAAATAGACACTGTTCGAATGCACAAAAACAATGCTAAGAACTGTTCTTGAATTGGAATTGCTGAGTAAATAGGAAAATTTAATTATGCTTGAGTGTAGAGAGGGTGCACAAACACGAGGGGCAGGGACAAGAGAGCGGTGGGGCCAATTGGCAAATGGATTTGTCGAGTGCACTCCAAGCGTGCTTGCTCCACGAAGTCATCGTTCGATCGGCTCTCACCTTAAATGCAGTTTTTGTGTACTCATTAACCTCTCTACTTCCACGCCCATTACTGGCACAGATATACCTTCCCCCTTGACATGTATTTAATTAGATTTTCTTAATAAATATTGAGGGTTCTCCATTATCATTAGAAACTCGCGTTCCTGGGAATTTTCTTAGTGCTGGGGGCGATGGAAATAAATGGAATGCTCCACACCCATTGCTACCTCTTTTTTTTTATCCTGCTGGATATCCCCCTTTGACACCCCCTTGCAGCAGAACACGTCTACGCCCACTCTTGCCATCGCATGCTGGAGGAACTCCTGCTTCTGCCTGCATTTGGCATACATGTACTCGTAAAACAGATAAAACAAACTTTCAAAACATGAAACTCATGAATTTTTAAAATTACATTCATGTTTATGTATCTACTCCCCCACCGTGTGTGTGTGTGTGTGGCACGTGTGTCAGTGTGTGTATGCCACTGCAACAGGCATTAAAATGCCCGCAGCCTCTGTTCAAAGAACTTGTCGGAAAATTGCAAATGAAAAGGAAATTATTGTTGTCTTACTCCGTATTCTTGGGTTACTTTTTTACAACTTTTTCCCGGAGCCAGCCACAAGAAAACTTTACAATTCCCCCATCCAGAATACCCTGAACGCCCCCGCCAGTGGAGCTTCAAAAAGAATCTTGAGAATTTGTTAGCCGCCCGTTGTAGGGCAAAGAAATTAGAAAGCATATGAAATGAAGTCGTCTGGCAACGCGTCGTATGCTGCTCTCCGGGCCTTAGTCACAGGTTTTTCTTTTCGTTGCTGCTGTTTTTTTTTTTTTTTTGGTTTGTTTTTTTTTGTAAACTTTTCCGTATGCACCTGTGTGTTCTTTGACTTCCCCGAAAATGTCCGTGAATTGAGGCAGGCAGACGGCAGATGCCTCCATCGGATGACCATTGGAATGCCGCATCTACTTTGTGTGCTTTTATCCGGCGGAAAACCCATAATATCGATATCATACGCGCCTGACCGCGTTTGCCATTCGATTCCATTCGCTTCGAATTTGATGTGATTCGTCTGCCAGCTGTCGTCATCGTTGCCGCTGATGCCTCAAACTGCTGCACGCTTCACTGCCTGCGCTCGTTCATTCATAAAGTTGCCTCCATCCTCTACCCGGCGCCCATTTCTATTATATTTATTTTTCTGTAATCATTTTTTTAACGTTTTCGACTGACATATGGCATTGGCTTATGGACACTTAATTGATACGCCCCCCGATAGCACACACACGCACACTGAGCGAAATTCCAGGGAAATGGGAGTGCAGCTTGGGGAAGTCTTTCGCTATCTTGGACTTGATGGGCCGCGCATGCCGCGGAGGGGAATGCATGTCCGTTTTCGTAACCACATGCCGAACGGTATGCCAATTCATTTCAATTTGTTTTGACACTTTGTAAATCATTGAAGGCGCAGCAGGTCAGAAGATATAACGCATACGCTCTGTTGCACTCAGGCGATAGATTGGAGCTGCTCAATAATTTACATTAAATCAACAATTTCTTTTGCTTATTTGCCCGTTTTTGGTGGCTAATTGTTGCGCATTAGAGGCCTCAAATGAAATGAAAATGGTGTTCACTCCAGTGGATGATAACCAAGATCTGTGCGAGTGGCACACACGCACGCGCTCGTCCAAATATTGCGCTTGTTTGCCAGCAGCCTCATAAATAAATCGCTGGCCTTCTCCTGCTCCTCCTCCTCAGCCATCTCTTTAGATGCGGGCATCTGACGCTCTTTTGGTCTTTTGCCACAGATGTTTGGCCATTTCGGTGTGGGGCGGGATTGAAGTCAAATATTTGATCTACTAAGCAGAGGGGCTCTGCCAGAGCTGTAGGTGGCACAACGCGTGCCGCCCACACTAGATGGATGAATTGTTGGCGTGGCTGGCAGAGAGCCTGCCTTGTGCCTGCCATGCCCACAGATCAAAGCAAGTTTTTGGTTGTCGAATCTAAATATAGAGTAGATTTAAGCAGTGAGTGCATTGCGTGCAGTCTCATCACTCTCACGCCTCTCCAAAGACATCCTTTGTAACACACACATCTCCACCCCACTACCCCGTGGCATGTTTATCCCCACTGCTTGGCGTTGACAAGGCTCCACTGCCACCAGCAGATTGTAGCTCAGTGAGAGGATGAGAGAAGTCACAGAGCGCAAAGAGCATGCTCCGCAAAGAGCAAAGCGTATTTGTTCATTAATAAATAACTTGACACTCGTTGCTTTAATCACTGTGGCAGCAGACTCTTCCCATTCCCATGCTTTCCTCCATGCTGCTGCTCATGGAGCATGGGGCTATGTACGTACCAGCAGCAGGTTGCCAGGTGAGAGACGCACATGAGTCTCGGTTACACACACCCATCTGTCGCAGCATCTTTTATCTCAATTAACAGATAAAACTACCATTTGGTCCCTTGGCAATCTTAATTGCTTCTATTTATGCATCGTTGTTGCGGGTAGTTTATGCGTGGCTAAATATCATGTTGTTAGGGCAATGCATAAACAAAGATACAACTAATGGTTGGGGGGAATATCAAGTGTGTATTCTTGCTGTGACTTCTTTAACTTGTACCCAATTGATTAGTTCCGTTCCATATTTTATCCTCTAATGCCTTTTATTGCAACTATCTTTTAATCACTGTCACGTCGCAGTTCATTAGTTCATAAACAAGCAATCTCCATTACAACAATTTCCACGGTAATTTCCTGTAATTATTGAGCATGGGCGGGGCTTATATAGGGGTCCCAAAGAAAAACAATAATGACACACGAACTGCAACATCGGCATCAGCGCTTGTTGTGCATTCAATTATTTGGGGCATTTGTGGGGTACCCCTGTGCACCACCCCACCCTTTTCCTAACCGATGCGATTCTGCTTTTGCTACCATCCATAAAGATGGCTATAAACTTATCTGCCATTTATCTGAGTTCCACTCCCATACTTTCACATCTAGTCACGAGATTTCGGCATGCAAGGTGTACTATTTGAACAGATTTAATGCTCATAATTTGTATACTCATGGAGCGAAGGTTTTCTTAACAGATATATTTAGACAGGGCTCCATAAATGAGGTTTATCATGAAAGCATTTGTGAAGCTCCTCGAGCAATCGAACTGTTTCCAGTCATAGACCTCACTACTGATCTCAAAGATCTGTCCTCATCCTTCTGTTGAGTCATCGAAAAGACTTAATCTTAGTGCAAACATACGTTTTATTCCCCATTTATTTATTTGCTGCGAGTGTATACCCATTATACAGCATATCTCCTCTATGTATTGTACGCCTTGGTCTGGTTTTTGTTGATTTTTTTTCGGTTCGCTTCTTTATTTTATCAGATAATAAGATATCGTATGAAGAGCGCTGCTTTATTTTTACACACTTTTGCGGCGTTTTATTTGAACAGATTCGCATTTAATTGCGCAGCGCCTGGCGGAGAGAACACAAGAAAAACAGAGTCAAAGTGGGAGTTGGAGTGGAAGCGGGAGCGGGAGCAGAGTTCAGGACCAGAGACGCCTACACTGACAGCTTCTGTTGCAGCTTCAGGTGGGAGACTCGTAAAACGAGAAGCAACATCAGCAGCAGCTGTAGCTGGTGCTACCCATCTACCGGGAACTCAGGCACCTCGTATTGCAACATTGTTTGGCCTTCCTTCATCTGCTGATAATAGACCGTAACTCATCGAAGAGTCCACATCTACATCCACGCATAGCCAACGTCTATGGCTGACGACGATTTGCGGGCTCTGGTGGATAGCCTGGATGACGCCTCGCCGGAGAACCTGGCCAACGTCATAGCCAACTTCTCGCTTGATATGCTGCAGAGGGCCAGCGCCCTAATTGGCGCCCAGCAGCCGCACAGTGGGGCGCTGCTCATCAATCGCACCCAACAATGCCAACAACAGAGCCAGCAGGAGGAGGAACTGGAGGCCGCCACAGCCACCGCAGCAGCAGCAGCAGAAGCAGCAGGTGGCAAGCGGGTGAGTTGTCTCGGGATAGTACGGTCGCGTGTGGTTTAGAGGAGCGTAAAGTTTCCCGTAATAATCAATACAGTCTGTCAATCGAAATATAATTAAGAAAAAAATACATGAAACTGTTGATATGGCAATCCAATACACCCGGCAACTCCATTTGTCTAAACTTTAAACCTTTTCAGCTATCGGTGCGTCCACAATCCATTAGGCAGTTACTTAATCAATGAAACAAAACACTTTTTCATGCTCCTCTCAATCGATCTTTCCTTTTATTTATTTAATCTTCATTCTTTCCATAAAGCTGGCATCTTTCAGTGTACCAATAGTCCAGTCAAAATATTTGCATGAATAAGCGAACCACTGATGAAAGATGATGATAAATTCGAACAAAAACCTGTAGCCAACCAATTGATTTCCGGCACATATACAATATTTTATATATTCCTTAGTTTCATGACTTCTACATGCAAGGAAAATCCCACTTGAGGCGGCATGCAGCACTTTTGGTCGCTTTCAATGGGCGAAACCTAAACGTAGCTGAGCAACAGTTCCAAAAGTGAATGAATCAATGAATGGAAGTGAAAATTGCAAATACAAATATTTATACGATATATATTTAATAATTATCAAGCTCTATCCAACGTTTGTTTGCTTTCGTCGTTGACATCTCGTGCGTCGTCGCGTGTCTAAGTCCCGAACCAAGCAAAAAAGAAGAAAAAAGCTACCAGCTTATCACTAAACACTATAGAAATGGACACTTTTCAATGGACTTTCAATTTCCGGACATTCAGAGCCCGTGATGTCATATACACCCGTACTGTCCACACTGATAAGATCAATTAATAAGCTAAATAGAAGGGAAAATATCAAATGAAAGCGCCCCAGTCGATGGTTGCGAATTATTTCTGCATTTGGCGAGTTTACTGTTTTGGGTCGTATACCCTATATATTAATATAAAGCATACATAGTACATGTCTATATACTTTTATATACCCATGGAAATTTATAGCACGCAATTGGAAATATATAAATAACCGCATAGATACCCATGCCTCGTGTCGGGCAAGGCAGCATTTTTGTTTAGATTCGTATGGATACGTATTTTTGTCGATGTTTGCTGAGTAAAATTCAATTGATAAATAGAAAAGATTTGCATATACCCTGGAGAAACTGTATGATACAGGGAAGGGTCAAGTCTGCCAGGAAATTGCATGCCTGAAATAAATATTTACCCCTGAACTGTGTTTGTAGTATTCGTATCCTTGCCACAGATGTTTCCTCTTCAATAACATACAAAATATAATAATATAATGCAACATCTGCTACATCTTACAGATCCTACACTGTCCCAGTGCATTCGATTCGGTGCTCTGTTGGCCACGCACCAAAGCCGCCACCCTGGCCGTTCTGCCCTGCTTTGAGGAGTTCAAGGGCGTGCACTATGATACCACAGGTGAGGGACCCACACTCGTAGCGAACTCCAATGAGAACTTTATTTATAATGCCAGAGAATGCCACGCGTTTCTGCTTCGAGAATGGGACATGGGATCACTATTCGGACTACGATCGTTGCCACCAGCAGTCGGGCTCTGTGCCCATGGTTCCCGATTTCTCACCCAGTGTGGATCTGCCTGCCATTATCTACGCCTGTGGTTACTTTATCAGCTTTGCCACCCTGGTGGTGGCCCTCATCGTATTTGTAAGCTTTAAGTGAGTCCAATCAACACTCCCGATCTTTGATTCATATTCAAACCAAGTTCCATCTATGGCAGAGATTTGCGGTGCCTGCGAAACACGATACATGCGAATCTATTCCTCACATACATCACCTCCGCTCTGCTGTGGATACTCACATTGTTCCTGCAAGTGGTAAGTTCGATTCCATATCCAATGACTTCATTTATCCTGCAGATATTTATGTTTATTCGTGCAGATAACCACAGAGTCTAGTCAGGCTGGTTGCATTACGCTAGTCATCATGTTGCAATACTTTTACTTGACCAACTTCTTCTGGATGTTTGTCGAAGGTGAGTTGCATCGAGGGGAAAGGAATATCTGTATCTACTTCACGTAATTCCCTTCCACTTTGCAGGCCTCTATTTGTACACCCTGGTGGTGCAAACATTCTCCAGCGATAACATCAGCTTTATTATCTATGCCCTCATTGGCTGGGGCTGTCCCGCTGTATTCATTATGGCCTGGGCCATAGCCAAAGCGTTTGCACCCCATCTGGAGAATGACCATTTCAATGGGGTGAGTGCTGGCTCCATAAAACTATTCCTATCGATCCTTGATGATTGTTTTTGGTGTTGCTTTTAGCTGGAAGTCGACTGCGGTTGGATGCGAGAATCTCACATTGATTGGATATTCAAGGGGCCAGCTTCGGTGGCTCTGGTTGTTAACTTGGTATTTCTCATACGCATCATGTGGGTGAGTGGAACATACTCAAGAATTTCCAGGATGTGCCGCTAATTATCTCTACATTTTAAGGTTCTCATTACCAAACTTCGCTCTGCCCACACTTTGGAGACGCGGCAGTATTATAAGGCATCAAAAGCACTGCTGGTGCTCATTCCCCTGTTTGGCATCACCTATCTGCTGGTCCTCACTGGCCCCGAACAGGGCATCAGTCGCAACCTCTTCGAGGCCATACGGGCATTTCTCATCAGCACACAGGTACAGGCATTCACTTCTGGGAATAATGAGTGTAACTTATGCTGTAATTCTGCTGCAGGGCTTCTTTGTGGCGCTCTTCTATTGCTTCCTCAATTCGGAGGTGCGCCAGACGCTGAGGCATCGCTTCGTACGCTGGCGCGAGAGTCGAAATATCCATCGGAGTAGCTCCCTGAAGAATCGCAGGTGGGTCTCTGTTAGCAGATGCTATAGGCGCAGTGTTGCACTCACATTTGGTATTCTAACGCATTGGTGTTGTCGGTCTACTACACATCCATACATAAATATATCTATCCGCTTGGGCTTTACACATGACACTATGCATAAGCAGATATAGTAGATGTGGCTTGTAGTTGTAGCTGTTCCTGTTGTTGTCATCGTTGTTGTTGTCACTTAACCAATTAATTTCCATTCCAGGCATCGCGCCTCCAAAGACTACTCGCAGAGATCGCGAACCGAAAGTCTACGGTGCGTATATGCAATGCTCATGTAGATGCAGCTTTCTTTTGTTCTCTATCTATCGTTTAACGCTCGCTCGTTTAATCTGCTAACACACATGCCGTACCCTATAGATACACACACATATCTCTATCAATTGCCTTGCAGAGTATCGTTTAAATGTAGAGTATCTGCTGGGTTATGCCAGAGTATGCCCCACGCAACACTTTGAAGGTCTTTATCCATGCCTGATTTCGGTTTTCCTGTTCTGTTTATCGTTTTCTTATAGACTGACCTCAACAAGTCCCGTGCCCACCGGACACTATGAATGAACCACAAAATACACAAACACACACACAACGATCTATGTATATGATACAAAGATCTACATGTTAGCGCCATCAAAAATATCCTATTGTCCATAAGTATTGCATGATATATGTATGTCAGTTAAGACCACAAATTAAAGTATTATTTTTTTGTATTTAAATGATTCTCATTCTCGAAATTTATCGATCCGCATTCCCTTCCTCTTTGAATCCCAACTTTCAGCACCGAGGAGTGTGTGATCTGCCTGCGCCCCACGCCGCACACTCGCCTGGCCACACAGGAACAAAATCACAGCCTCAATATCACCGATTTTGTTTAGGAATTCATTTGCAAAGCAGGCCAAGTCCTCGGTTTCCAGCAGGCCTGGCAATGCTCTTCGATTTCAATTGGTTTCTCGAATTCTGGAACGGGATGCTGATGCTTCCATTGGCAGTTGTTGGCTCTTCCAGACTGTTTTCAATCATTGCCTGCAAGTGGGGGGAAACTTTAGTTTAGGGCATCGATTGGCTATGGATTTGATAGAACTTACCCGGAGGCAAAGTTGCAGCAGGAGAATGGCAATCTCCACAGCAGCTAAAAGAGATTATAGAAATCAAGGAACCGACAAAGACATCTGGATTGCAGGCGTTGCAACAGCTTTACTTGGACTTTTAGTTTATTTTCGAACGTGACTTGAAGTTACAGCAAAAGTTAAGGTTAAACTAAAGTAGATTCCATGGTTCACATCCGATGCCAAAAGTCTATCTTAAGTACGAAAACATGTTGCTTGCATGGGGAAGTTAACGTGCATCAAACATTCCGAATGTAGAAATGGCAAAAATCAAAGAAAATAAACACAAACACTGTGAAGGTGCCCCAAACCATTTAAACCCATTTTAGGATACATTCTAAAATTAGCTACTAATATTCTCTAGGTTTTATCAATTATGTGCCAATGCGTGCAAAAAGGTTTGTCGTAACGATTAATTCTTAAGGTTGCTTTTTTTTTTTAGTTCTATGTTTCTTGCGTTTTAGCTTTTTGTTTTTTCTCATTTTGTTTTTGTTTTTGTTTGTTATGTATCTTTTAGTTTTTTCTTAAGGTCACATTGTTTATATCACTGAAAATCTAATTTAAATCTAATTAAAACTTAGATTAAAACAAAAGAAGGAAATAAAAAATAAAGGAAAATCAACAAAGAAAAGAAATACAATTTTGCTGTCAACTTAAACATAATTATTGATGTTCCGCGATTAAAGCTTGTTTCAAAATATCAAAAAGTTGTCATTTTTTCATTCTTGTGTGTTTCAGTTACTAAAAATTAAGGCTATATATCTGTAGAATTTATGCCTATGTCTGTATGTTGGTGTGAGTGTGTATGTGTATATTAATGCGTATGAAATCTACAATTAAAAACTATGAACGCTTAATGGTAATCGTAATCTTCAACTTGTTTCCCTATAACGGTCATGTCTGCCTGTATCCGATTCTATGTCTGTCTGTCCGTCTTTCTATATAATGTGTGCGCTATATAATTCGATTTGAATTGTACTAAGTATGTGTTTGTGTGTATGGGTGAGTGTGGTTTTCTATCGAAAAGAAATTCGAGTCGTCATGGTTGATGCCAGAAACCATTTCATACAGTCGCTTCCTGCAAAACTCCGCTAACTGACCCACAAAACTTCTGCGAAGCTCGGGTTAATCATATTCTTCTGCCTTTCATGTATATAAAATAACAATTACACTATTAACTAACTAACGCACATGTTGGGAGTGTTGGGAAGGATCGGGAGTTTGGATTGGGACTTACTTTTCTTAAAGGTAGTATCAAATGCATTCGCCGGGATTCTGGGCACAATATTTTGGGAACAGAGCCTCCGCCTTGATGCCCAGCTCGACGAGGCGGGTGCGGAACAGCGAGATGCGGCGGAACACCTCCGGGGCCATAATGTCCAGATCATGATCATCGCTGGGATCCGACCAGAGTCGCTCGCCCAGTGCACCGGCACGGGGCCACAGTCGATTGTCCAGCTGATTCTCGTCCACCTGCTCTGTCCACAGGCAGGCCTCACCGCCCAACACCTGAAAAGAGGTTAAAGATTAGCTGTTTGTATTCTTCAATGCTCAAAAGACTCACTTGCTTGCGCCGCTTCTTGTCCAGACGCATGCGCTCCCAGGGCCGGTGCTTGTAGACATTCTGCCAGGTGCGATAGGGGGAGCAGGCGGCCTCACCCGTGCTCCTCCAACTGCCGAAGCCACAGTCCAAGTACCAGGCATCCACGTGCGAGAAAATCACGTTGTAGCCATTGTCCAGCAGGTCATAGTTCTCCTGCCATGTGCTGCCGCCCCACACCTGCACCGTGAATTGACTGTTTGGAAGACACTTGGTGTTGGTTAGGGCGCTTGACCAGACAGCCAAATATTTGGGGGAGACTCCATTGTTTGCCATCTTCAGCCTGTCGAAAGGAAAGCAGAAGTAGCTAGATTTGTAGCAGGATATAGAGGAGAATGGGCTGCCTACCTGGCCATCGCCTGCAGCATGAAATCGCACCACAATCCCCGCAGATCTGTGTCGTTGAAGTACTGGGCCCAGCAGTCGAGATTCACCTCATCGCCACCCAGATGAAAGAGGTCCGTGGGACCCGTCGCTAGCAGCAGCTCCTCGTAGAGGCGCTGCAGTATGAGGTAGGTGTGGTTGTTCTTCGGATTGAGCTGCCCGCACGGTGGCTCACCGCAGTAGAAGCTCCAGGGCTGCTGATTAATGCACACGGCCAGCTCGCCCATGCCCCGCTTGGGCCCCCAGTCCCAGCCATTGCCGGCATGGGCGGGAGCATCGATCTCCGGTATCACCTGCACGCCATGGATCCGTGCAAAGTCGGCCACCTCGCGCACATCTTGCTCTGTGTACGTCTCGCTCTCCGAGTAGGCTCCGTGCTCGGCCAGCTCCGGATAGTTGCGCGAGATATAGGGAAAGCTCTGCGCATCCGTTAGATGCCAGTGGAAGCGATTTAGCTTGGCCAGGCCCATTCCCATGATCGTTCTCTTGATCGCCTCCAACGAGAAGAAGTGGCGTGAGGTGTCGAGCATCAGGCCGCGATACCGGAACTTTGGGGCATCCTTCACCTTGCTGTTGACGTACGTGTGCAGCATGTGATCCTCGTCATCGAACCAGATCAGTTGCTGCAGCGTCGACAGTCCGTGGCGAGCCCCAAAGAACGAGTTTGCCTTGATCTCCACCAGCAGTCGATGGCTCTCCGCTTAGAAACAAATTAGAAGATGTTAGACCAGGCTTAGATCGGCTGATAATCTTCGTTTTGCTTACTCATTGTGGATAGCTGATAGCTTTCATCGTTGTCCAGGCTGAAGTCCACATCTCCGGACTTTTGCACGCTGATCTTTACCAGCAGACTTTCCAGACCGCCTGATCGTCTTTGGCCAGAAGTGGCAGCTCCCACCATATCGTTGTTCGATGACCACGATGAGGATTCACTTTCGCCCATCTCAGCAGGACTGGCCGCGTAGTCTAGTCTCTGGATCTGGCGCAGATCCTTGAGGAAAGAGTCAAAGGAGAGCTGCAGCTGCTTGCGCACCTCTCGATGCGGCGTGTCCATTTCCAGTTGGACAATCTCTAGGGAGAAGCTGGTTGTCTGGGCGCTGACAAGCGATTTAATTGTCGGCGCCGGCCAGATGTTCACGTAACCGCAGGTCATCGAACAGGTGATGAAGGAGACACGCTTGGCGGTCTTCCCGGCATGATAGCTCACCCGCATGCATCTGTCATTCTCGCATTTGTAAGTCCAAAACTTCTCCACGGGTCTGTAAAATGAAGAGGCATGGGTTTTAGTCAGGGATTCATCTCTTTAATTAATATCTCACACTCACATGGGAAAGGCAGTGCCGTCCTTGTGGCTGTGGGGGCGTTCCAATGCTTCGCTGTAGGCCTGTGTCTTGCCGCCTCCCTGGTTCCAGTACAGCACGGTGAGGATGAAGATGGCGCCCGATAGGAGCACCAGCAAGGCACGGCGCAGCGACACGGCCAGTGACATCTTAAAGAGATAACGTAGGCTGTAATTGAGATGGATATCCGGTTAATAATTGGGCCCCAAAGCAACGTACACAAGTGCCCCATCCAACCATCCATCCACCCAGTGGCTGACATCATCACCTGACAACAAACGTGGATCAAGGAACTAAACCAAACAATAAGAGGCCACATTAAGGGATTGAGCGGCGGGGCGGGAGGGCCATGGGCGTGTCTATCCGTTCCGGTTTGCTCTACTTTGGTCGTGTAACGAGGACACCTCGAACTTTAATCAATGCTCGCGACTTGGGGGCTTGACTGGCGATAAAATCAAAGGAAATCCCCAAAGCAAGAGACCTTCCTGCCACATGCCATTTAGCTGCGAATTGTTTGTCTTTCGCGACTTTCCCCACACCAAAATAGGGAGTATATACATATATATGTATGTACATGGGGTATATGTATTTGTACATATATACATACATTTGAAGCAGCTTTGGGTTGATGAAAGAACAGACATCTTTACAATATTCCATATAAACTAGAAATTTTCAATCTGTTTTATTATGTTGAATGTTAAAAGCTGGCTTGCTTTTAAAGGTAGATAAAGAGGTGATAGAAGGATTTTGGCTAAACCATAACCCCCCACACCATATCCCCACCTCAATTTCCTTAACCTTAATATCAAATTTAATGCGTTCTTATCGATTTCAAATCAAATTACTTAACAAAAGAGTAAGAGTGCCATAAACCCAAATATTATATGTATGATTCTGGGATTTTGCGTGTGGCACTTTTAAAGTTTCCATAGACGAGGGAACGCGGACAGGACCTTGCCACCAGTGAGTGGTGACTGCTGACTGGTGCCTGGCACCGCCTCGCTGCCGCACACCCACACCTGTAACCTTTGCGTGCGACTGTGGCAATCGATGCTGGGGTTGGAACGCTTAAGGTTTCATTTGAAAATATGAAATACTTTCCCAGGACATGCAACACATGCACACACATGTGTTATGATTAAAAAAGAAAAGCAGGAATCTTGCAGAACATGTGACATGGCTTTGGGCTTTGATACCCTGCCTTCTGGCAGCCCATGGCGATTGCTTGACCCACCCTCATATTCCATCCGTCATTAACCATGAAGGCTGTGAATAATAAATCAACAGGCATACATAATTAATGCATAAAAAGTGGCGAAGAGGGGGTGGGCGGAATGTGTGGTGCAAGAAGAAAGGATTGCTGGCGCTCAACGGTGACAGCCTCATTAGTTGCCACAGAAATATGCCACACACACGCACACGTGTACACTAATTGTGGCTGTCGAAAATATTTGTATAAAATGTAGCCTACATTGCAGCGGCTTCGCCATTTCCCTGGAATTCGGCGTGGCTTACCCTTGGCGCGTGCGCAGTGGCCCACTAAATGACCAGAAGCGCCAAAAACTATCCATCATCATCATCTCGTCCCCATCCGTGCGTGTGTGTGTGTTTACGGGTGGTCCACGGCTCTAATGAGTCACGTTTCCGCCTGCCGCTGCCACTGCCACTACCGCTGTCGTCGCCCGCTGCTGCTGCCAACTGTTGAAAGGCGGCGTGACTTACAAACAACAAAATGTGTCGTAGCTTTTCAGCTGCTACCTGCCGCCTCCTGCCTTCTGCCTCCTCCTGAATTGACAAATTTCCCTCTACACAAATCTAAAATTATGCCAGCGAACAGATTGAGATAGGAAAACTAAAATTGTAACAACTTTGGCGACATTCACGGCCGCCAACTGTAGCAACAACAACAGCAACAACAAGAGCTGCAACGACGACGACGGGGACGTGCTCTTCAGCAGGGCGCGCGCGACACTCGAGGTGTAGGCAACAACTATAGAGACCGTTACGCCGTGTGACTGTTAAGCCGCCATAGTCGCACGGATTTCAAGATTGTCGACTAGCCTTTCCCGCTCGTCGCCACCTCTACTTCCACAAAAGCTGTCGTCAAAAAAGCGGCCCACCCCACACAGACACACATCCACAAAGAGCGCAAAGCAAACAGAGAAAGCAGAAACAGAAAAAAAAACGGAGAAGCGAAGAAAGGTAGAGCGAATGAGAAGGTACAAATGGCGTGCAACTATTTACATATGTTCTTGGAGCAGTCGTTGCCCGCCGCCTGCGACTCTGTACAGCTGTCGACTGGGAGGACACACTGCCGCCCCCGAATAATGGGCACACCTTCGCACTCAAAATTTTAGGCATCTGTGTGTGCTGGGCAATAAATTAAAAGCAAATTTGCGCAAATTACACATGAATTTCAATTAGTTGCCAGTTGCTGGCAATTATAATGATGATTGCATATGGCCAGGCCATTAAACGTGGCCAAAATGCAAATTTTCTACATTTGTATCGGCGGGCGAACATGGTACATATTTTTTACATATTTAAAATTTCAACAATGTTTATACTGAAGTCAGCGTACATTTTCCTCAGATGCATCAGTGGGAAAATAAATCTTTATTTACACATTTAATTAGCTACGATGAGTGGGATACATTCTTGAAGCAAAAAAAATGCGTTTAAACTGAATCATTTTCGTTTTCTCAGCCGCATCTGAATATTGTCAACAGGTGGCACTTTTTTTCTGAACTGATTTGTCTGATTTTAGGAGCATGAGCTAGTTATTGTGTTGTATTGGCTGCCAGCCACAATATATGGGACTGACAGTGTGACTTTCGAGTCGCATTATTATTTATGGTCGCATGCCGTGAAAAATGTCAGTTGGCGACAAGTGTTGTTCAAATGGCATGCACGGTTGCCACAACGACAGCAACAGTAGCAGCAGCAGCAGCAACAATAATGACAGCCCCCATACGAGTTGTACAAAAGCATTTGGCGCTCAATTTGATGTGAAACGTGCAGGAACCTCACACATGCACACACTCACAATCACTCACAGACAGTGGAAGAGAGAGAGAGTGAGAGAGATATGATGAAAGAGATGGGTTACAAAAGGAAGCTCAATACAAATAACTGTGCTTGGCCTTTGTAGTTGACTCTGTTCCTGTCGGCCTCTTGCTGCTCTCCTCCACCCTTTTCCACCGACGAGTGCGAGTACGAGCAGCGAAAGAGCGGGACAGCTGCAGCAAAAGAAAAATGGGCAACGCAACATGTAACAGGCAAACAGAAGGCAAAAGAAACCAACAGCAGCAGCAGCAGTAACCAGAAGAAGCCGCAACCCAAGGTGCATTAATAAAAGGTTTGTCAGTCCACGCGAGCAGCCTCTATTCTCAGGTGCGTTCGCAAAGAGAGATTAAGTGGGAGAAAAACCAGTGTAGACCAAGTGCTAGACCGCCCTACCCTCCAATTCATAAACCTTGCGCGAGATAGAGCCGAAGCAAGTTAAAACCAAAGCACAAGCCGAAGGTTGATGGCGCGCTTCGGTTGCCTGGGCAACTTCGTCGTGCACACAACAGAACCGAGCAGAGCGTAGGGCAGAGGATAAGCCCAAGCCAAGTCGGTACGGCACGGGAGCAGAGCAGCGCGCACTGACTGACACTCGCAGCTAGCCAGCAAAGTCAAACTCAAGCCGGGCCCCAGTTGCAGCAGCGCAACCAAAGCATTTGCACAGACGCACGGCGACGCGACGGGCTCCACCGCGTGCCAAATAGAGGGAGTAACGGAGTGCCCTTATCAGTTGCCTTGGCCATCGATCGCACTGCTTCTGCTGTTGCTGCTCCCTTCGCTCTCACTATGAGCTCTAGTTACTCGAATGTTAGTTAGTGTTGGTGCGCGCGCGGAACAGAGAAAGGGCTAGTTCTCGCAAGTCTGTGCTTGTCCTTGCTTAGGGCTAGGGCACTAGCACTAGAACCACTCGCCCGCTGAGAGTGTGCCGTACCGTGTGTGGAGGTCTGCGTGCTAATGGCCTTGTAATGTGTGTTCCAAGCTAATCGTTATGCAATCGACAGTGAAATTACAGTGAAATAATGTCTTTGAAACGTTATGCAACGCTGCTCGCGGCGGTCACTCCACAGAATCCGCACAATGCAACGACCATCTCAACGGTCTTGTCCGTGACAACTATTGCCCCATCATCCGTCGCTCCAGGCAGCGCCGAGGATTCCCAATCGCAGTCTCAGGAGCATGGCAGCACGTCATCCTCATCGTTTACAACCTTCTATAGCAGCGGTTTGGGTCTGTATCATCAGCGTGGTGTCTCCGGATCTGCAGGCAATGTCGGAGGCGGAGGCGGAGGAGGTGCAGCTGGAGCGGGCGGACCCCAGACATATGCAAATGTTGTCAACGGGAATGTGAATCTGCTGCTGGGCGGGTAAGTCACATGCACCTACGTACATATTTATGTATGAGATTCATGTCCCTCACACACACCCCATAATCAGTGAATCAGTGGGAAGGGAATGCATCACATGCTAAAGGTGGGTAAAGGGTACAACCAGGTGAGATGTCTGTGCCACGGGGGAAATGCGGAAGAGTGTCTGACAAATCAGAGATTGCAAAGTTTTGCTCACTATTTACGAAATATTAATGGTGCCTTCCTTCACTCTTGATTTCTGTCAGAAATGTTGGAGAACTTCGAGGATGCAGGATCCCTTGAGCTAATCAAAAATTCTACAGTATACTTCTTGGGGCATGCATCAAAGCCAACATAATTCAGAGTTTTCATGAAAAATGTGCTCGTAAATTAAATTTAAATGGCTACAGAAATTGCCGTAATTGTAGACACATTCTCTTAGATGGATAATGCCACACACACACATAACAATAAGGGTAACATTGCAGCAACACTCATAGATCATGCCACAAGCTTGATTTATGAGTCGGAGATGAAAATTAATAAACATCAACATTTTATGCGCCTGCAAGCAAGACTGAGTGACATCAGTCTTTCCACCATTTTTGGACATAATAATTATAATTGCGCTTATCCGCTTCTCCGGCTTCTTTTTCGGGTGAAATCCTCACCCCAGCAGCGAATCCTTCTGTCACTTTTTGTGTGCAACATGAGCTGTGTCTCAAGCAATTGGGTTAACCGAAAAATATCCCAAAAAAAAGGACTAAGAACCATGAATTGTCAACAGACTTTTATAGTGTATTTGTTATATGTATTTTTGATGTCTGTAAACATCACGCGCGCCACAAAACGAACGAAAACTTAATTTTAACTACATTTTTATCGATTGTCTTTGGCGATTCATTGAAAATAGCTCGAATAAAAACAATCTGTAGAAGGGGGACATCACAACGCCAGCTCCAACGTGTCTCTATCCGCCCGTCCTTTGATACAGTGAATGGACTAAAAGGCGGCCCCTTAATGAACTGTTGACATGCGAGAAATTGCGTGAAGCGAGGAAAGTGAACAGCTCAAAGGCAGCTCAAAGGAGGACAGGATGAGCCAGCGGAACACTGGACAGACACACACACACACACAGACAAGTGGGACATCATATTGTTGCATCCTAAAGTGGATTAAGTGACGTCAGTGGCTTGTCTTCTGTGTAACAGATTTGTGCGAACCTCTAGCCGTGGGTAATCACTGGGTATAATCGGACACAAGTTCTTCAACGGCGAGGCTGAAAGGGAAATTCGATAACTGGCAATCACGACGATGATACTCCAACGATTCTAGGACAGGGAAGCTAAGGGAATGGTAATTTATTGGCAAAGAAATACTATATAAAAGCGATGGTAAATCCAAGTCAAGCGTTGAGGCCATTACCATCAGAGCTGCAGGCCATCGAAAAGCGACAAGGGAAAATAATTCAAATTAAATACGGGGGCAAGTCCCCAGGTACAAGTATCAAAAACTATTAGAATAATTGAATTTATGTGTTTATTGAAGATAAAAGCTTTCAATGTCTCAGAAAATGATGTTGTTAAAAGCTGAATGGCTTTCAAGTATTTTAGAAAGCTTCTTGGTAATGATTTTTGTTTTCACGTTTTGTGTGTTTAATCTAAAATGAATTAGGCCCACAAAAACTAATTTTAGTCAACAGTTGGTTGCCTCTTGTAGGGTCATTCTAGCATTGGTTGCAACGAGAAAATTATCTTTATTCGTTGCACACAAATTACATACATCAGTCCAACAGCACAACCCCAAAGCCCGGGCTATAATGTTAAACAACAATAACTGCATTATTCTAATTAAAACTACAATAGAGTGACACAATTATGGGTAATATCCATCAGGTTAGACTTGGTTGGAGAGGCAGAGGACCCAAATAATTTGTTTAAGGAATTTATGTTATCAATACGCAAGCAGAGAGCGTCCAAAAAGGACACATGCACACACACAAAAACACACACAAACACACACTCAGACAAGACACAATGAGCATTTGTGAAATTTGTCCAGCAGAATTAATAGATGTCCAAAAATTGTAATAATATTATCATTATTATAGCCATTATCTATTATGGTAATCAATTCCATTCTCATTCCATTCTCATTCAACCACCAAGCAGACTTCTACATATTTACATGCATATGTGGCTGTATCTGGATGTTGTATCCTTTGGCACATGGGTTATTATTGTATTTGCAATGTACATACATATTTCGTGTTTCTGGGTTGTTATTGTTGCAGGGCCATGCTCTCCCTGGTGACAACCATATTGTGCGTCGTCTGCTATTGTTGCCACCGCAATATCAAAAAGCGAACGGAGGCCGCCTACAGGCAGCAGCAGCATCAATGGCTGGAGACGGATCCAAACATGGAAATCTATAGCGTTGAGCAGGTGAGTTTACAACTGCATTGCCCCCCCAGTCATTGACACCCCCTAGTGGTTCAGGGCAAAGGATACATTATCAAAGGCCATGGTTCAGTGAGGGAATGATGTTGCAATTGATTGGAATGCTTCAGGGCACTAATTGTGCAACAAAATTAATTTAAGAAATACAAGTGAAGGAAAGCCATGATTGGGAATTGAGTAGAAATCAATGCTACTAGATGTTATTTATAGTGTGAACTATTTGCGGAGCTGCTCTCAAATGAATGGTGAAGAAAGTTTCAAATGAAAAGAGCTGTGGAATTTATGGCACTGCATTTCATAAACAGCTTCCCACTACTTTACTCTTGATTGTTATATTATAAAATTATGATATACTTGTAATGTCCAATCTAAAAGATTTACTCAAAAGAATTACTCATCAAATATGCCCGACAATCTTCTATTAATCTTATATTCACTGATTTAATGATCTAGCAGTTGAAATGTCAAATCCTAATAGTTGGAGAACCACGAATCACAATCAGTGGACGTTTTTCCAATTGGCCAAAGTATAAATAAATTAGTATGGCCACAAGAATCGGCTAGACATTCGTGGTCAGGTAGACTTGTTCCCCTTCGACCTCCTGCCAGTGGCCCGGTTTCAAGTTTAAGCCAACATTTCAAGGCGACAGTTTCAAAGTAAGACAGCAAGTGGCACAGAAGGAGGCAGAATAAGATGGTAGGAGTAGAAGAAGTGGGAGGTAATGGATATTTATGCGGCAAATTTAACAGGTGCCAACAACAACAAGTGACTTGACCAGAGCACAAAAAGGGCGCGACATTCGGTTTGTGCTGATGCCTCCAACGTCAGGCGCGCCGCTTGCAAGTGCCACAAATAGGGTGACGGCGGCGGCGGCACTTGGAAGCCGCCATTAGAGGCCGCACTCACTTGGCCCTAGGCTTTATTAAGTTACAAGCAAAGAGAAACCACTGCCACCACCACCACCCACGACACCAAACACTGCCATCCGTCAGATCATTGTGGTTTGTTGGCCCACTGGGAGATGGCCCGAAAGAAGAACGGCAAAAGGCAGATGGCGGCTCAGCGTAAATCAACGTTAGCCTGTCCTGCCGCAAAAAATGTCAACTGTGGACAGTTCTCCCATTGCAGCAGCAGGAGGAGGGACTGGGATTGGGATAAAAAGTGCTGTAGACAGCAGTAGAACTGGTGGGGCAGTGGATGATGATAGGCTGCAGGGGCAGATGGGCGACTAAATTTATGATGTGTGCAATTTAAACTTTTTTATTTGATCGCGGAGTAAATTACATCCAGTTCTGGCAGGGAAGGAGGGATAGATATTCGTTAATTTTCGAGGATATTGCAACATGACTAACGCTTTTCACTCTTCATTGCAGTGCTACGAGACATCTGGACTATTCATGGGCGACTCCACGGACGGACTCTCGGTTATACCGACCCTACACCACGAGCCACCGCCCTCCTACGATGCGGTGGTGCTGCACGAGCAACAATTGCTGCAGCAACAACAGCAGCACCAGCAGCAGTTGGAGCAGATCCAGCTGCAGCAGCAGCAGATCCTAATGCAGCGCGTCTCGCCACCGCCCGGCTATCGATCGTCCCTGGACATCAACACCCACCACCATCAAGGGGCTGTGGGTGGCTGCAGTCGAGGCACACCCGATGGCAGTGTGGATGCCTTGGCCAGTGGATCGGGAGGAATCAGAGGAGCAGCCGGAGGCGGGGCATTGGTCAATAAGCAACTGCAGCTGGCACTTAACGCCCAATCCTGCTGCTCCCTGCAGCGGGCGGAGGTGGAGAGCATGTGGAATGCCACGGAAATGGAGAATATGTGGAATGCAGGTGCGGCTGCGGTTGCCGCCCGACGCGGACATTGCCTGGAAATGGAGACGCTGCAGCCACCATCAATGACGCTGCCACCAGCGGTGCCGCTGGCCCTCCAAGGCAGAAAGCACGGCGGTCAGCAGAGCTTCGGGCTAAACACCTTGGGGCGCCGCTACCTTCAGCAGAGCCATCAGCACAGTCACTACCGACGCGGCTGTCCACTGTGCGGCAAGTTCCGCTACGAGGCGGAAGATGAGGTCAACCCATGTGACATGTCTGTGGAAAGCGGATCCATGAGGAGCAGAGAGGTGCCGTCAGAGGAAGCCAATGAGAATGGAGTATTGGAGGGTGCTGAGCCGGCAACAAGTCCCTGCCCCTGCACCAACAACAGCGACAACGAGGATGGAAACGGCAACCACATGATTGGCGAGGCCCTGCTATCCGATGAGGCAAATGGAAATATCCAACCCGCAACACAGGAAGCAATCAACGAGACAACCACCACAGCCATCTCCGCTGTCACCGATGAAAATGACAACGCAGCTGCGGCAGCCACGCCATCGGTCACAAATGAGGAAGAGCAGCCGAGTGGCAGTCTAGAGCAGGATTTGAGCAGCATCAATGAGAACGGCTTCATCAGCATGGACATGAGCAAAATCATTGACAGATCGGGTCTGCCGACGTATGAGGGCGCCCTGAAGCTCGAGTCCAGTGGCTATGTGTAGGAGCACTGTCCGAGGATTTCTTGGAAGATCATAGCTTGAGTTAGCTATAAATAATCTATGGATACCTAGATCACAAATGTGCTTTAATTATGGAATAAGATGGCACTCTCTTTGGACAGCTGTGAAATAGCAAAAGTATTTGTTTGGTTTACTCAACGCACTAGGTAATCCGTTTGTAGTTCCTTTAGTTTGATAGTCAATCAGGTTTAACTGATCTCACAGAATGAGTAAGATTCGTTGTTGTTATTGTTTAATCTCATGGATTACTTTCAGTTTTGGTACAATATTTTCTTCTATTAAAGATAGAGAACATCCCTACAAGATCAATTGTATTCAGATTCACTTCACATGCACCTTAATTTGTTGATCTTTTTGGATCTCTGCCTAAAACAGGATCTTACCCCCTCTCTCACTCTCCTTTGTAAGCTAAGAAATTATAAAGAAACAAATAAACCTAATTTCTAGTGTTAAGCCATTATGCATATCCCTGTAAAGGTTCGTTTCAGGCCAGAATATCAATAAAAAAAGATAACAACAAATGGAAAGAGCAACAGTCGCTGATCGGGCGGCCTTAACCCTAATAAGTACGATTACAATAATATTATCTTTGTGTTTTGCTACACCGAACGCAATTCCATTGATTTTGTATTATACGCCCATGCCTCCCATTCGCCTATCCCTAAGAGTAGAAAAGAGCGAAATGAGAACGAAAAGGAAAACAGAAAAACGAAAGCAGGGCGACGAATGACAAACAAATCGTCAAAGACGGTGACTAACAAGCGGGAAAAGAACAGAACAGACAATACCCGCTATCTCGCTCACTCCTTCTTCTATTTGACCCGGTCACTCTGTACTTAGCCATGGGCCAACGGGACAGACAACGGGGCTTTTATGTCTACCGTCTCTGTCTAGATCATTTGCATAAAGGACAGCGAAGCAACTGTAGGCAAGGAAGAGAAAAATATAATTTAGAGATAGACAAGCCACAACGACTTATCGATGTCCTCACTTGTAAAAGTTGGCAGTGAAATGAATAAATTAACTATCAAGCTGATATTTAACCTCGAACTTTGAACACTAAAAGCTGCAGCCCTATTTTAAATGGGAGTTACAGTCGTCACACTCTTAGAAAGAGTATCAAAATCGCATTTGCCGTGAGTGGTGTTTTTGTTATTGTTTGTGCGGCGAAACAGTGGTTAGAGAGAATAATACTTCTTTCTCTTCTTTCTTTTAAAAACAAACTTGTTAGATGCACATAATTATCCACAATTTCACTGGAAGGAAGGGGATATAAAGGTCCCGCATTTATGCAACCATGAATTGCCCGCGGGGCGGTGTGTGGAGGAACTGCGGGTGCAGGGTTCAGGGCGAACAGCCATATAATCGAATGTAATTATGCTTGGATCGATGTAAAAGTCTAAGCGGCGTTTTGCAAGTGATTTTAAGGCACTTTTTTCATGGCAAATCCTACTTGACCCCAATCAAATATTCATAATCCTCTTGTGATTTTTGATTCTTGCGTTTTATTTCACTTCCGACATGATTTCGTTTAGCACACCACTTTACAGCTAACCTGAAACCCACTTCACCCACATACCGTCGTGTCAGCAGCATTATTCTGTATAAAAAAATTGGTAAATTTTCATGTGAGTTGTGTCGGCAATAAACCATAAAACCCGAATATCGTATTATTTATGGCCATGCCAAAGAGATTTCCTTGCGGTTGGCGTTGGCAATACGAGTGTACGATTCAGCCGGGTCGGGAGGAGGCGCGCGCTTTGTTGATAATTGCAAACTGAATGTGATGCGCTACGTTAGTGGCACAACAAGTTGAGGCACAGTAGACGACACAGCACCCCACAGCACAGCAGCAGAGTGGCAGTCGCAGCCGCAGCCGCAGCAAAAAAGCACAAAGAGGTCTAAGCATTGGCATCGAAGCTTTAAATACCCTATAAGAACGTTCCTTCATTAATTACACCATCGATTCTATGTTCAATCGGTTCTACGATACCAAAACTATAAGCTGTCCATGGGAAAATGGAAATAAGAGAAATGTCTTCTCTCTGCTGTTGCTGCTGATAAATAATAAACATAATTTATAGGCTCTGTAGTGTCAAAGCATGTTGCAAAATTACCATACCTGAATGCTAGCCTGCTGAGGGGGTATCAAAAAAGACAGAAAAGAGAGCGCTAGACGCCAGATAATGTGCATGTGTGCAGGCCAAACAAAATAGAGCGCACGAGAGCTGAATAGAAGGGAACTGAAAATGAAAATGAGACCTGAACCGAGCAGAACAGAATGACGGCATGGGCATGGAGCATGGGGTTGGGAGCACGAGGCATGGTGGGTGGCTGGGTTGGGAATGCCGCAAACTGCGCATCGCCGTTTGACCCTTGGCTGAGCAGCTCTCGTTCGCCTGCTTCGATTTATTAATAAAACCAGAGAGCCAGAGAGAGTGGGACCCACATGCACACACACAGGGGAGGGGACCGCCGACCAGTCGGCAGCGGCGTCCGAGGTGGATTGGGGGCAGGTGTCGTTGTCGTCGTCGTCGTCGTTGGTGTGAACAATCCAAGCACATGCCCATACAATTGGCTTTCCTCTCTCATGTTTATAATTACTGCAAATTGTCGCTTAAAATGTTGTGCTCCCCTGCCAAAAGCACTCGAACTACTTATTGTAGGAGTGTGTCATCATCAGTGGTGCTTGCTGGCATCATCCACAGAAGCATCATTATGTACTGCTGGCACGTGCTTAAAAATAGACTCCAATCGACTATACCATTTGACAATTATGACCTAAAAATTCGGTTTAAATATATCTTCTAAAGGGAGAGAGATAATCTTCTAGGGTTTTAATGCCCTTACCGACCAATGGAAAGAGTCTAATTGTCATTAGGAAATATAAATTGATGTAAGAAAAGGCTGTTATGTGGTTTAAAATGGATTCTTATAATCAATCGAAGCAGCGGTCGAATTCAGGTAGTGAAAATACTTTAATTTTGCTTCAAATTACTTAGCTTCAAAAAAAAAACAGGTTTTTAAGAGGGTTTCCAGATAAAAGTAATGTCTGTAATTAGCTGCAACTATTGTTTCAGTGGATTTTAATGTGAAATGCATTAAAACAAACTCAACGATAAGAGAATTTCGAAATTCGAATGATATGTTGCTGAGTCCGCCACGAGCGTTTAGCTGATAAGCAAAAAAACAGAAATGAAATAAAAATGCACACACACATACACAACACATGTATGCATATGAATGTTCATATATTATGGGCACAAACCACTGTTATAATCGTGTATCGCTTCCGCTAAACAGCATCCAGTAGCTGGGGTGCCGCAAACTGTCGTCTCCAGAGGCGATGGATGCGAACTGCCGTAACCAGTAGCCCAGCCACGATAGATAGCACCCCAAAAAGCAAACAATAATGGGAGTGTGTAGTGGCGTGTGTCGGGGCATGTAGAAGTGGGCCAGGCTACAGCTACTGCCGCAGCCAGCAACAATGGAAAAGCGCAAAAACCGAAAGTAAAAGTGCAAATAGCCAAAAAGATGCCAACACACGTATTGCCCAGCCTGCCTGCCTACCGCAAAACACACTCTGACACACACACACACAAACACACACACTCCGTTCCCCACAAACGCAAAGAAAAACGAAGGCAGCGAGGAGTGGAGACTTACTGTGGATTGGAATGCTCTTTGCATGTCCTGATTTCTTCCGTCGCCAGGCCTAAGCGGAGGGAGGCTAGACGTGGATAAGTGGACGATGGTGGGTGTGAGGATGAGGATCCTAGGGTGTTGGTGCTGGTTCTGGTGCAGGTGTGGCCGCTGCCGATGCGAGGGGAAGAATATGTGGCAGCACACTTGTGGTGGTTATTGCTTAGCGTGTTTCTGTGCCGCAGACAGATTACTTATTGCACATATTACATCTTTCATTTAACTTAAATCATGTTGTAATTCCTTCACAAACTGCACACGACGACAGATCGAATCGAATCGAAAGAGTTGAGGGTGCGGTGGTAAGGAGGGGGTGTGGAAAATCTGTCTGGATGCGGATTCTGCGGCGCGTAACTGTTATTTCGTGTTGGTTATTGCTTGGGTTTCAGTCGTTCACTTGGCAGATACTATATGCCTTTTAAATTTAATACTTATTGCACGTCCCGCACACGTGGGGGCTTGGGTTTTGAAACAATTAAAAAGAGCTTGGGGCAAACATTTTATATTTTTTGCAAAAAAAACAAAAAACAAAATCGGCGACTGACCGTATGGTGAAAGCCGATTAATACCTGTTGTTTGTTTAACGAAAATACCAAACAACAGAAAATACTGAAACATACTCACACAGAGACCGCGCGATTCAAATCACTGCACTCACATATGTATATGGCACCAATGCATGCTGGTGTGGTTTGGGTTATATTTGGAAATGATTAATAACTAACATATACATAATTATACATAATAGTAAACAGATATTCATATTACACATAATCATAGTAGCTAACCAAGTAATTGGTTGGTTCAATGCTTCCCGCAAATGGGTCTCCTTTTTCTTGATTGACATTTGCAAATTGCGATGCGATTTAAAATTGATCTAATGTTTTGTACCATTTGTGTGTGTATCCTATCAATTTCCCTAGCTCTGCTCCAGTAATTAGCTTTGCCAATTTGCATTAAATCAGAATATTAATGTTCTTCTTGGGTTGTGTTGTGTTTTTGTGGAGTGTTAGTGGTGTGGGGCTTCAGTTGCGCAGATAAGCAAAACCCTCCTCCTGTCCGGGATCGTTGTGACGCACTGCCATGGCAGTCTCCACCAGATAATAGAGACACTTGTACTTGTCCCGCTGCTCTCGACTTAGATCTGCAGTTAAGTTGATTAAATTATAATAATTACAGCCACAAATGAATGCTCCACTGGTTCTTACTCTGTGGTGGCGGTGTCGACTGGCTCTGACTGTTGTCAACCTCCTCGGGGGACCGCTCCAGCTGCTTGGAGCTGCTTGTCACTGCCGCAGACTCGGCAACGATTGGATGTCGCAGATCGTTCCTAGTGACCACAACCTTTGGCTTGGCTGAAAGGTACGCAAATTCATTTACTTTGAAACGCTATTCACGATACTCAATGCTTGAAACATACGCTCACGCTTGGAGATTGTATTTATGGAAATCAGGGGCTTGCTGTTGGCAGCCTCTGGGGCATTGGCTGTGGCTGCGGCGCTGCTGGTGGCGACCTCCTCCGTGGTGAAGACGGTTCTGGAAAGAAAGAAACGTTAAGAAACCCTAGAGTGGTTTGGCTCTACTCACTTCATCACGGACTGCCAGTCGTCGGAGGTCTCGAAGCGGACTTCACCCTCGCTGTTCGGTTCGCATGACTCGTAGCCCTGAGCGCTCTCCTCGCCCTCGGATCTGTGGATGAGAAGCAGGAGGATTAGCCACACTGGAGTCCTAGAGTCAGGCTTATGATAAGGAGTCCACCAATATGCTTTGCAACTGCCCCGCTGTACCTAGGGCCCATCCCTTTGCCTCTCTTGGCCGACTTCCCAGGCTCGGCTTCCTTTCGTTTCTGAACAATTTCTTTGCCTGCTTCTGAGGACTGAGCCGCCGACGTACGTTTGCGTCCGCGCCTAATTGGACCTGGCTTTTTCTCCTCCTCGAACTCTGGCGGCATCTGCCGAAATGTGCTGCTGAATGGCTTTAGGGCACCGTTGCTGCTGGCGGCCAGCGCAGCTGCTTTGCGCATCTGAAAGGCCTGTATCTTATCTATAATGGTTGCTTGCAGCGATGAGTGGAGACTCTGGAAGCCCATGGGATTGTTTGCAACGGCCTGCTGCCAGCTTGGGGGGGAGTAGGGAGTAGTCCAAGTTGATCAAAAAGGGTTGTCCCTTTGCAGTACCTGTAGATGACGCTCTCGTCGTATTCCGGTTCCATTTTCAGCACCTGCCCGTTCGGTGTCCTCACGTACTGGTCAAAGTTGGTCAGCACATTGGCGATTCCCTGATGGGCCTCGCCCGCACCATCCACTTCCTCGGTGGCGCCAACAAACTGCAAAAAGAGACACACAACAGTGGCAGTCAGGAAGGTGAGGAATGTCATTGCTTACCACTTCGGAGATAGGACTGCCTGCCTCAGAGATCTGATTGGCTGCTCCCAACTGGAGCATGGATGAATTGGGGCTGGTCTTCTTGCCACGCCGCGAAATGGTAAAGTGCAGCGGATCGTTGCCCTCGCGGCGTATCATCTCGGGCAGGATGCGGCGGCGCGCATTGATGAACCAGTTGCACACCTGCAGCACCGTCAGATTGGCCTCCTGGGCCAGCGTAAACTTCTCGGCATCGCTGGGATAGGCATTGTAGCGGTGCTCGTAGAGCCAGCGCTTCAGAATCTTCACCGAGTGCTTCGGCAGGTTGCCGCGACGCTTGCGCAGCGACCCGTTGAAGTCGATGTGCTCGTGATCGGATTCCATTATCATCTCGTGGTAGTTCTGCAGCTCACTGTTGTCCACCATCAACTGGTCGGTGCTGCGTTCGGGATCCTCCTCCACAATGCCATCGGCGGAGAGGGTGTCCAATGCATTCATCGACTCCTGGTCATGGTCCAGACTAGAGTCGGACACGAAGCGTTCGCGTTCGCGTTCGGCTGCCACTCGGCCATCAGACATGTTCGCCTGGTACATGTTCTGGATGTTCCTACGCACCTGGTGATCCAGCACCAGGTTCACCTCCTCATTATCTGGCGAAATCATTCTCAAAGCTCAACAGAAAAATAAGAAAAAAAAACGCGTAAAAATTAGAGTTGCCCGAATTCAACTCGAATTTTAATATTTATGCGATCTACTTGTGAAAAAAATTAGTATATTTAATCCGAATTTTGTTGTTGGCGATTAACAAAAATATTTTTGCTGCTCACAGCTCGGGCTTTTGGTTAAAACTAACTTTTTTAGCTGAATGCACAGCCTTCTGATAGGACACAAATGCTGGGGCATGCTTTGGCCCAAAATCTTGGCACTCCTTGCAGCCTACTTGATTGTTCGCTTTTCATTGTGTGTTGGGAACGAAAAACGAACTTTAAATTGTTGTTTCCACCAATCGAGTATGTGTGGTATCGATAGTCACGGGGCTACTTGGTATCGAATGGGAAGACCATGACATATAACATGTCAAATTGACACTTTTAGCAGAATTATTTTGACAAACTCATCGCGCGCGTCCACAACGGCCACTCGGTTCTTCAGCGGCGGTACGCAAATATCGTCCAATTGTGTTTAATTGCACTATTTCAATTGTTAATAACCTCCAAGACGACGACGCCGCAGCAGGCAGCGGTGGCAGCAACAAAAACCGAATACATCCGAAGAGGCAAAGAGAGAGGAGAGGAGAATTACGGTAGCTGCTGGTGTTGGCAAACGCTGTCAGGGTTTGTTTTGGTTTTTTATAGCAGCCAAAACGCTGCTTAAATGCTATTAAACACATCGTTAATGAATACAACAAATTATCATTAATTTCAATTAACCTATTTGTGTAATTAGACTTCACAATCACTTAACGCAAAGTTATAGTGTAGTGTTGCAAAACGTTTCAATTTGATTGAGCGCAAAATGGAAGAGGAATTCCTGGCGTTGGACGAGGAATTGCTGGCGAACATAAAAAGCAGCGGCGATGAGGAAAGCGATGTGGAAATGCAGGAGCCGGAGCAGCTCCCTGCGGCTGCTGTCGCTCCACTGAAATGGAGCGCCGAGGACTCGGATCCCCTGCAGGTTACAGCCGCTGCAGACCCTTTCCGGTGGCGCTTTGAGGAGAGCGACGTTCTGACCATCGAGGACCAGAAGCCTGCGGGAACGGGGCGAACCGCCGTTAAGCGAGGACGTGGACGTCCTTCAACCAAAAACTGCAGCTTCAAATCGCCCAGTGGACTGAAGTGGTCTGCGGATCGCCCGACAATGCCGCCTATGGAGCAGCTGCCCTTGCCGGGACACGTGGCGTTTGGCAAGGGACCCGCCGTCACCGTCACCAATGCCGTTGAATCCTGGATACTCATGTTTGACGATGAAATGCTGCGCTTCCTGCTGCGCCACATCAACGAAAAGTTGCGCAAACAAACCGGCCAATCCCTCCACCAACGTCCATTAGATGTTGTCGAGTTGCGCTCCTTCCTGGGGCTGACCTACTTGTGTGGCGTCTTCAGAAACGGCACGTACAATGGGCCGCTGGAGGAGCTGTGGACCGTGGAACTGGGCAATGCCATATTCCGTGGCACGATGACATTCCAACGATTCCAATACATATCGGAGTCCCTTAGCGAAGTCAACAGCTGGTCGGAGGCCAAGAGGCTCTGGCACAAGCTGATAATCAACTCCCGCACATATTACGGCTGCAGCGGCTGGCTGGCAGTCGATGAGGTGCCCTGCTGTGTGGCCAATGCGAGACTGGCGCTCTGTTGCGATGCCAAGACCTTGTACATGGCCAATGCCTCGGCCACCACACAGCGCCAGTCCATCAACAAGGAAGTGAAAAAACTGATCTGCGACTACAAGACGACAGCAAGGAATGTTACGCTGGGACCCAACTACTTTAGTCTGTCCCAATGCCAGGAGCTGTTGGAATCGCAGCTAAGCTCGATAGGAGTGATGGAGGCCACAGCGGCAGACAGGCCCAAGCTGTGGCCCACACCCGACACACACATCGTTTACCACAAGTCCTCCAAACTAATTCCCTACTATAACAAAGCCCTGCTCTGCTGTGGCGTCAGCCCGGAAGTGGATCCAACACAGGCCTTCCTGCTCACCTATCAGACTTGCCAACAGTTCAATGAACAGTCGCAGCGATACAGCACAAAGTTTGCCACGCCCGCGACCCAGGAGAAGAAAGCCCACACGTTCCTCAATCTGCTACATCTCGTGCTCAACACAGCGGCCTTCAATGCATGGGTCCTCCTGCGACTCTCACTCAAAGGCGACGCCAAAATGGAGCAGCGTGACTTCCAGAGGCAGTTGGGACTCTTTCTCAGCCAGCAGCGGCTGCAGCGACGGCTTAAGAGACGCTGCACGACAACCACGCTGGGGATGCGACTTCAGATCTGCGAAATACTGGGCCAATCCACGCAGCGACTGCTCAACGAGGTGAAGCTGGAGGCCAAGAAGGCGCAAAGCGTGGGCGTAATCAATCTGACGCAGGCCGCCCTGCCGCAGGGCGTCAGTCTGTCCCATCGGTATGGAGACAAACACCGACGCTGCAAGTCCTGTTCCAAGGAAAAGCGGGAGACAAAGGCGCGCACGCGTTGCCAGCAGTGTCTGGCTCATCGTTGTGGCAATCATCTCATCTCGCGCTGCTACGAGTGCATAGGACTGCAGGCGGCGCAGCTGCCAGAGGGAAACCTGCCCAATGCTGGCGACAATTGAACCTGACATTAAATAACATTTATTAAAGAGGACGCTGCTGACGCTACACTCTGCGTGTTTATGGTAGGAGGAGAATGCATATTGCTTTTGGGGTGCAACTTGTGCTACGATGACAACGGCCATGCTACAACTACAACTAGAACTGCAAATGACCAGAATGGGGCCCTAGAATTTGTACTGGAAGGACTTTGGTGTCTTGTACTTGGCGGCTGTCGCACCGTGGGCCGTGTCAATGGGATCGCTTTGATCGAGGAACAGGCTGAGGAACTGCTCGTTCTGCAGCTCATTCAGTGGCATCTCCAGCTCGCTGCACGACTTGACTATCTCGGCACACGCACGCAGATCCTTGCGCAAATCTAAAACGTAACCCAGAATTAGTGGACAGATCGCCGGGCAGTGGCTCCCACTCACATTGATAGTTGAAGAGCAAACTGAGGCAACTGGCGCAGGCCGAGCGCTGCTGGTGCTGCAGATAGACTTCAATCAGTCGGTGCACTGCATCCACATTGTTCCGACCGAGGAATGAAGAGCACAGCGGATTGGCCCTGCACAGATGAAAAGAATCGGATTTGGTTACAAGGTTTTGTGTTGTTTATTTCCCTACTTACCGTCGCTCCACCAACTCCTGCAGCTCCTTGTAGTGCTCGAGGAGTTCGCCTGCCGATTTCTGGTCACAGAACCAGTCGCTGACGAAGCACTGCTTCCACACACAGGCCACCACAAAGATGTCCTTGTGCTCGCGATGAATGGCACGGGCCACATCCATGAGGGACACCAGCACAGCCTCGCTCTTCTGGGCGAGCGTCTCCTCGGATATTGTGCGAAAGGCGGTCCGAATCATGCGGCGTCCCTCCTCGGTGGTCATGCTGACGCCATAGCCACGATGCAGGGTCATCAGGGCTACCTCCGCATTGCCATTGTTCCACAGGGCAATGGCCTTGAAGGGCGCCAAGTCGGCATAGGTGTTGGCAAATGGATGCTTGAGCTGGCGGCAGGTATCCGCCAGTGCCTCCAGCTGCTGCAGCTTCCGCTGCGTGCTCAAGTACTTGAGGCAGGTGATGAACACCTCGTTGGACGGCAACAGGTTACAGCGAATGCACTGCCTGATCAAGTAGAGAAAGTCAAGCTTGTTCTTGATCTCCAGAGTGGCCATCAGAAGGTTGTCCAGCTGCGGCTGCGACAACGATCGAATGTCCAGGCCCAGCTGTGGCGAACGCAGCGCTTTCAGATCACTCATCATCCCCTTGGACATGAGGCCCACGTTCTGGCTGAAGCTGGTGTTGGCTGCCCCAGTTCCTGTTGCTCCCGTTGCCACATTGCTGTTGGCGTCTGCCTCCAGAGCGGGCGATTGCTTGTGCATCAGACTGTCGCGCAGCTCCTCCCATTTCTGGGTCTTGCGGCTGACCAAATCGTTGGTGAAGCAATCAATGGCGTCCAGCTGCGTCGACTTGCGCTGCTGGCGTTGCGTTCCCGGCCACAGAAATGCAGCGATATAATTCTGAAAACGCTGCAGACCCTTCGGGGAGCCAGGAGCGCCAGCCACGGTTGTGGTGCCACTGCTGGTCAAACGCGTCAACATAGCCATCGCGCGGTATCAACGCCGCTGCTCTCCTAGATTTGTCTAGCACGACACGGCGACAATCGCGCCTTTTGCCTCCGTATTATCGTTTATTGTATAAGTTTTATTTTTATTTATTTTTTTTTGTGTGTACTAGAGGTGGAGAGCTATCGATGGCACTATGATGGTTGGACACTATCGACCTAGCTCACTATCGATGGTTTAACGTCTCGATAGTGGTCGATAATATCACGCCGCGCAACAATTTTGAAGATAAAATAAAACTAAAAGCGCTTCTGTAGAGAGTAACCAAATCTATTAGATCACTGAATTGGGATCATTATTATGGCCAAAATGACGAAAATTAACTTGCAGTGACTTAGGAGTCCTTTTTGATCACAAGCTTTTGATGTCCTGCCTTAGAAATCTGAACTGGGACTCTGACAGACTCTTACCACCATACTGATATGGGCTAAGACTAGTGAACCTCTTTAAAACATCGCTTTTGGGATAGATAGATTTTACAGTATGCAGTTCTAAGCTATTATGCTATTATGGTACGAAATTTGTATCAAAAAATAAGGTGTCGACAACAGGTAAATACGTCACAAACAATTTCTTCCAGGTATGCAAAAACCACCCCCTTTTCATCCCCCGTGATTGATTTCATACAAACGAAATCGTTCACGTCATGTTATATGAATCCTTAAACAGGTGCGGAAAAGGTGGGAGTTTTGAAAAGTTCGTCCTCTTTTACCTCATTGCCATACCTTGCGAATCACATGCCAAAGAGAGGATTAGGTCAGCAGAGAGAGCAAGATACTCTCTCCTCTCTCTCCTCATTTTTGCGGTTCGATATCGAGCACAGAAATCCCACAGAAATATACCAAAATTAGTATTAGATTAGTAATATACCATTTTCCTCGATTTTGATGTTCTAATGATATTATTGGTACACGGTCACACTGCTCTCTACAAACACCGCGGTCGCGTCTCACGTTCCCCCTTCCCCTAGGGTTTAGCATTTAACCAAAATATTTTATATTTTATATGCAGGGCAAAAGGCAGAGCAGCAGTGTACTTTGTTTATGTTTACGTGTAATTTGTCGATGTTTAAAGTAGTAGTAGTTAAAAGTTGATAGGAGCTGCGCGTGTGCCTTGTGTCCGTAACTTTTTCGCTGGTGGCGTGAGAGACAGCATTGAAAATGCTATAATATTGTTTTCTCATAACAAAATTTGCGAGTTAGGCAGCATTAGCGCCAACCGGGCCTATTTACATAATATTAGCAACAAAGCACAAGCACACACTCACACATACGCAGGCTCTTGCGTTTTGTGGAAAATTAACAATTTGCTTGACGAAGGAGAGTGTGTGGGGCAAACAACAAGATCAAGTTGAGCGAAATGCAAGTGAAAATGCAAATGCAACTGGAATTAAATTGAAAAGTGCCCGACAAAAAAGTGAAAACTAACTCAATTGACATTCTCCTGGGATTGGCTGCAGGCACAAATAAACGCAAATATGTCGAATACTGAAGAGAGCGAGCTGGACCCGCAAATTCAGGTGAGTGGAGGGTCTGGGGCTGGGGCTGCTTTTGCCTTCACCTCTCGTTTTGTGCACCCCCTGTGGCCCTCAGATATGCACGTGCCCGTACCAGGCAGTGCCAGGCGATTCAGCCAGATACAATATACAAATGGAAATTGCTGCCTTGGCACGTTGGTTTGTTTTTGTGTAAATGTTGTTCCCACTCTTTGTTAGCTCTCTCCCCCTCTTTCTTTGTCTCTCTTTGAGCTCTCTTTTAATTGGCTTTGACAGACTCTTTACAGGAAAGCACCTTTATGTTTTGCATTCCATTTCGTTTGCTCGGTTAGCTTTCTGCCACAATCACACAGCAGAAATCAATTTCCCAAGCCAAGCGCTTTAACAAATTGCAAGTTTCCGTTCCCGGCAAAAAACGGTTCAGTTTTCATTGTGAACAATTCTACAGGAATTGTAACTCTCCACACACACATAAGCATAAAGAGCCTCAGGGTCAAGTGTCTGTTTCGTTTCCCTCTCTTCATCTCCCACTCACTTCCTGGTAATAGGATTTTATGTTCTTCCGTGCGTAATTTGGAAATTTTCCTCTCCAGTCGTGGTACCTAAAACAGATTCAAGTGCAGTTATTGGCCTCGCGCTACCTCCCTCTCTATCGCTCTTTGTAATTTTCGGGAGAGCCCTGGCGGATGAATGCAAAATTAATAAATGGAAATACCGAAGCGCACACGCAAGCCCAAACAACACTAACAGAAATGCGCACTGTACACCCTGTACTCGTAGGGAAGAAAGGTAGATTATTTTTTAGTATATCAAAGCAGAAGGTAACATCAGTAGGGAAGCTGTGATTAGAGCTACATATTGGTGTATGCAGCTTCTCAATTCAAGCAGCCTAAATGTAATCAATGTAGAGGGTATTTTACGGTTTTTAATGTTGTGTAAGGCAATCCAAAACAAGAGAGACACACAACAACACAATACAGAGTGTGTTGCGTCTCTGGTGCGGTCGTTCATATCATTTCGCATAAATTAAGATTTATTTAGTTACTTGCTCAACAACGAGAAATAATTTTCAAATTTCTAGTCGCTTAATGGGCATTAGGAGTACATGAATCTACAGATGTTCCTCGTTTGAATAAAATTGGATCGCACCTTAGTTTGTGTATTTATAAAACCCGAAAACCTAGCGGGAGACGTCGCACGCGGCGTAAAAACATTAACCACATTTGTTTGATTCTGGGCATGTGACTTGATTGAAACACTCGATAATGTCTATAAATATGGTGTGTGCGAAAATATAAAACACGAATGGTAGAATCATAGAGAGAAAGAAAGATTTGTATGTATGTATATACATATGTGTGTATGTGCATTCAGAGAGATAAGGTTATACTCTAAACAAAATTTGTTTCGCTATGCCGAATGGGAAACCGGTTAGCGTGAGCTCTCTCATCTATACAAAATATATTACCAAATACGCAAAAACATCTTGCTTTGTTGCCGATTTTTCAATGTTTTATGCTTGACTTCCTCTGTAGACAATTCTTTCGACTATTTTTCAGTTCTCTGCTTGTCAACGATTTATCAATGGATTCTTTGCTCGTGCAAATTCTCTTATCAGAACAAGCTTGATGACGACAAAGGAATTAATAGACGATGGAAAGATTATGGTGGCGGTGGCCCAAAGTTTATTTAGCTTCAATTCGTGTGTCTCCTCGACAGCTGTTTCGGTGTTTATTTTAACCCAAAAACTAGCGGGTCTTTGTTTTTATTTCTGTTGAAAATCCCACACGCGTCAGCTCTTGAAAGCATTAATATCATTTGCGTGCTGGGGGAGTTTTTCTGCTCGTTTGCTTTGCCCAAAACTTTCTTCGTCATGGAGTGTATAATTGTTTGACACTTATCGATTATACGATAATTGTTTCCATGGGCCAATGCAGGGAGGACGGGGAGTTGTCTCTCTCTCTTGGAACGAAAACTGGTGGGAAAACTTTCAAGTAAATTATAAATAATATTTATCGCTCAGCCTTGCCCCAGTTGATAAAATTGGGTAATTTGATTAGCAAAGGAAACTTTATCCATGGCTTCAGCTGATAAAGTTCAATGACTAATGACTAATAATTCATACTTGAATTTCTGGGTGTCGGTTGCGCCGGAAAGGTGAGAGAAAGAAAGGTGCTTACAAGGGGATTTTTGTCAATTAGAGAACACTGCCCTGGGTGAATCGGTGAATCAGAATTGAGTCAACGACCAAACATGAAAGGTGCCCCATAGTCGTAGTTAAAAATATAGGAAATGATGAGGAGCATGGACAGATAAAGCTCCTGGCTACATTCCATGCTGGACATCGTAGTTTTGTCCATCATGGACAATTGATCAAGTCCCTCTATTTTAAAAATTGCTTATAAAACCAGTGGGAGAACATGATTTAAAATAAAATGAATCACTAAACAATGACCAACGCCATGAGTCACCTGTGTGAGTTAACGTGCATTAAATTAAATGTTATGCCAACTCAATCGTAGATGGAAACAATTACTGAAAAAATCTATTGATGAAGTAAAAGCTAAACGCTATTAAAAACTAGAAAAGGCACACAGAAACTCTCCAAAGTGTCTTATAAACTACAAAAAAAGGTTAAATTCCATTAGAAATAAAAAAATAATAAAAAAAGATTGTTCTCTATGTGGCAGCGGTGGGATTCGAACCCACGCCTCCGAGGAGACTGGTGCCTTAAACCAGCGCCTTAGACCGCTCGGCCACGCTACCTCTGTGACTGGTCGAGGTCCGAGTTGATTCTCGTCGTCAGGCGGCGATCGTCGTTTTCAGTTTATTAATAGTGTGACAAAAATACAAAACAACTGTAGGAAGTTTATTAAAATACAATAAAGAAAATAAAGAAGCTTTACACATTGCACTTGCATAAATAAAGGAATAATTTTCTGCCATCCCACTGATTTTTCACTGTTTGTTGAACCTTTAAATGAGAGCAGTGCAGTGCCTCTGGTTGGGGGCTTTACCTTCATTATCATCAACGATGCATAACTGAGAGAGCGAAGAGAGAGAAAAAACTATTTTGCTCTGATTTTCAGGCTGAATGAATTAATTTACATTTTGCTTTGATTCGTTTGTGGTTCGTTGTCTTTGAATTGGAATTGTTAATGAATTTCAGCGTGCCCACTTCCTGTGTTATCGAATCAGCAGTGGGGATCATAACGCTGGCGTATAAATGTTCATATAAGAGGCAATCTTATCAGTCAAAAAGGATCATGAACTTGTTAAACCAATATTCATTGGTTTCATTTAACAATGGCACTGCAACTGCCTTTATTTGAACTTTGAACTTGGCTTTTGAGAGACAGAATGAGGGAGAGAGCTCTGGTGCCAGAACATTTCAGCAATTGAAATTTATTTGTATACACATTTTAGTTTCAATACAAAGTGGGTCATTCCCCAGCCCAACCTCCACTCGACGTGAATTCATTCTTTAATTCAGCATTTTGAAAGTTCCCTCTCTCCACCAAAATTTGACATATCGCTTGGAGACTTTGCGGTGTGGAGGTACTAGAGCTTGAACTAATTATAACTTTGTTTCGAGTCGCTTGACATTCATTCACGCACACGCTGCTGTACCGTGTGGTTTTCCTTTATATAACCATCTCTTTGACCTCTCGGTGCCTTGAGCAGCAACTTTCTTAGCCAAGTGCTGTTCCAGTTTTTTTCGAGTACTTTCTACGGGAGCTCTTATTGCCTTTATATTTTGGGTTGAATGTCCTTTGTGGACCCTGCTGCGCAAGTCGAATCGATGTACATTTGTATATTTGAATTGTTTATGGGCTATGGGCTTCCATAAAAGTACCGATTCAATTGCCATTTTGGCAAAATATTGTCGCAGTCAAGTTGACAAGATGGAGAGAGAAGAGAGCGAATGTATGTACCTATGTACATTTGTAGGTCAGGTCAGGTCAGCCCCGACGTCGGCATCACGCCACCAAAGGCAGATGTCGTCATGACGGAACTGGCGGCACCGAACCGCTGAGCGGAACAGGGAGTGTTGCCAATGTAAAAGGGAAAGTGGAAGTGGAAGTGGAAGGGATAAGCAAATAGATGTACATAATACTAATACCATATCCGATAAGCGGGTGGGTTTGGGATCTACATATGTGCACAGCGCTAATAAAGGAAGGGAAAAGAAAGAGTTTCTCTAATGGGATAAAATACGATAGGGGAAGCTATGGTGCTATCCTTTCCATAGGTTCATATATGTAGAAGTAGCAGTATTTGCACTGTGTGTGTCCGTCTATGACTGGCGGTTCTTCCTTTTATTTATTGCTTCTGACTGTTCGCAAATATCCTAAATATAGTCATTACGCTACGAGTATAACCCCCCAGGACTGACTGGCCATTGTCATGAGACGGTGGGCGGCGCCCTCTTGTCTGACGAAATGGTTTGGGAGTCTAACGAGCCGCACTCACGTCATCTGCCAACTCTTGCTAAGAGACGCGCGCCTGGTTGTAACCTTTTGCATTTGGCGATTAGTTATATTCATTCTGTTGCTGTGACTCCAGCCGGACTTCGCAACGGTCTGCCCTTTGGCAACGGCACTCTGACGATATTGCACAATGAAAGACAAGAAAAACGTCGGCACATCGCGTGATTTGGTAACGTTTTGGGCCCAGACCTCCCGAGAATAGACCTTGTACCACATGATTTTGGCCCTGTTTGTGGAAGCTTTAAATGTGCTTCAGATGTGTAAAATAATAAAATCAATATTTAAAGAAGGAAAATACACACCAAACACATGTATTTCTCATGAATGTATTTATTCATGGATTTGCAATTTACATTCCAGGAATATTTGCCATGTGCTTAAGAATCCAGTTCTTGGAAATTATATTGATATTTAAACAGTCCAGTTCCCCCGTTTGCCATTTTTGTATATTTAATTTTGATGCCAAAGTTGCGAAAATATTTGTACATATTTTTCCAGCGTCATTTTGTCATTCACAATTAACCTACGAAGTTCGTATTTATTTGTATTTGTTTTATTTTCTCTTTGTGGATAATCAAATATTTCTTTTTGCCACAGTGCATACACAGCCGGTGCTACCTTGGCTGGCAAAAATGTTATTTCGACTTTTACAATTGAAATTGCATGGTAATAAAAGTCATTTGTTGCAGTGGTCATGGCAAGCCAATACCTTCCCCCCATCGGATGGAATGTACTACGTTAATCTCCTTAGGTCTAGGCATCTCTGCATACGACAACATCAATACTTAAGCTTTGCTGTGTGGGGCGTTTTTTTGTTTGTTTTTCCAGGTTTTTGCCTCAACTTTTTTCATTGCATGTTGCTGCCTGCTGCTGTTGCACTTTCTGTGGAAATGTGTAAAAGTGAAGGGTGTAAATAAATAAACTTTTAATTAACCAAAAACTTGTTACGGAAATGCCAGACACAAAATACTGGCTTGGCTCACTTGTTCCCTACTCGTTCCTTGAGCAGAAACAAATTCCAGAAGAGTTCAAGCTGCCTTTCATCCGTGGCTGATGCCCATGCCCCCCAAACTGGTTTCGTTTGTTTACAAGCACGAAACCCGTTTGGAGGGTATGTACATATGTTTGTATGTATGGATGCTCTGGGCTCTCGCACGTTGGGCTTTGTCTTAACTCTTAAATCAATCACTATTACAGGGGCAGCAACTCGAGCAGAAACTCGTTGAGAAGACCTGCCCTCTTACTGTTTATGCTCATGTTTATGTCCGGGATGTGAAGAAATGCCCAACGGACACGATAAAAATCAAACTGGGACAGGCCCAATAACAAAAGCTGCCGTAGAGAGCGGTAAACCTACTACCAACCAAAAATATTATAATTAAAACCAGTTTGGTCGACCACGAAATTTGTGGACCGTGTGTGGGTCCACCAACACAATCAAAACTTACAATGTACAAAAAGCCCAAAACAAAACATAAAACTGTAACCGCATGCAGTTCAGCGATCCATGAACATGTCCGCAACCCCATCCATGTGCACATACATACATATGTATGTATTAATGTATGTACATATGTAACATACCATACCATACCTGCCGCCCTCGCTCTGCATGTTAATATTTAAATGTAAATTTTAGAGTAACTAAATTTGGCCATGCACTTTATAAACTTTATAAATTCGCCATTTGTGTTTAGGAAACACATTCATCCTGTCTGCAATGTTCTTCAAACTATAATTTTAGTTTCTGCATTATTCTTTCATCCATTCTAAAAATCGTTTTTGCTTTGAATTTACTGTGCAAACGTGCAATATTTCTGTATTCAATATAACCAGAACCTTCTATTCTTGTCATAAAAAAATCTGAAATCTTAAATTTCTCTTGACTGAAAAGTTGAAGTTTAATTATTAAGATTGAAGCACACTAAATTCTATCGTGATAAGCTACAAAAAAGCTAGATTGACAGCACTGGTTCCTCCCTTCCGCTGTCAATTTTAATTTTTAGATGCGTATGCCTATAGAGCCCGCGTGGCGCAGAGCGTTGAGCGTTTGGTGTTCGTACAGAATATTGTTGCTGTGTGCGCAGCCCAGCCCGAGTTCAAATCGTGCTCTGTTTGGTACCGGCCGATAAAAAAATAACACTTTTCGTACAGTATAAAATTATATTTACGTTTGACTTTTGGAGGAAGACTTTGCCCCTAGATTTGTATATGGGAATTGTATGCTCAAAAATGCAATTTCGTTTCTGTCTGGGGCTATAGCATAACCACAGTTCGGTTCCACTCCACGGAGAAGATGCGTTCACTTCAATGTCCTAGCGTCTTCTTCACTCTTCAGACAAATCATGACCACCGACATTCACCAATTTTTTTGTTTTTGTTTTTAAGAATTCACAAAAACTTCTTAAACATTTTTGTATATTGTTCGTTTATCGTTTTACGTATGTACACACGCCACTTAGGAACTACTTAAATGTGTTTGCTGGAACTACAAATAAATTTATAGGAAAAAAATGCATTGACAAAAAATACAGAACAGGACAAGCTACATTTCGTGGGATTGTTAGCGATTCTCATGGGCTCTTTGCTGTGGGGGGACAACTCCATCCAGTCCCAGTTATTGTTGAACGAACACTTTTTAGATGAACTCGTAGCCGATGCCAAACTGGAAGCCATTGAGAATCTTGTCGGTAGCCTGGCGACGCACTGGGATGCAGTAGTTGAGTTCGATGCGTGCCCGATCGGCGAACTTGAAGGCCAGTCCCATGCCAAAGGCGGTACGCATGTTCTCTGAAAACGAGACACGTGAAAAGATGAAAATATTTCCAAAGAAATGAGATTGGATCAGGCAGGCAGACACTTACCAAAGCTAAAACTATTGGTGTTACCAATGTTGTAGAAGAAATGCATTCTAAAGTTGCTGGCCAGGCTCTTGAAGATGCCAGCAAATGGCAGAGGCGTCCACAGATGCGCCCCCGTGCACCAGTAGGTCTGCGCCCCAATCGGTGTGCCATCGACCACGGGCCCAGCGCCGCCGTATTTGAATCCTCGCAATGTCATGGGTCCACCGCAATAGAAGAGCGAACCAATGGGCAGCAAGGTGGTCTGTTTGGTCTCCTTGACAATGCCCACGCGTCCACAGAACTGTGCCACAAAGTCAGAGAAGAGTGGAACATTCACCTCGCCGTGAGCTGTGCTGCTGGTATAGGCGATGTTTCCACCCAGACCGCAGTACTCGTTGGTGGATTTCAGTAGAATGCCGCGGGTGGCAAAGACATTGGCATCCCGATTGTCAAACACCACCGAGTAGCGCACCAATGAGGCCAGTTTTGGCCCGCAATGCTCCCGAATGCTAAACGGCACGGATTTGTTTAGCAGACCCACGTTCCTGATCGAGTTCTCGTACTGCAGCGAGTGAGTTAGCTAATTAAATAGATAAAGAAACCTTCATTAAATCGAGTTGATGCTCTCCCAGCTGGTAGTTATTTGTGCCTTACATCCACTCCCAGGCTGCTGTGGGCCGAAAAGTCAATCAAGTAGCCCAGATTTGTGGATTGGAAAGAGCTAATGTCGAAGCGATCCGTTTGCCTGAATATGCTGAACGAGAATCTGTAAAGATTGAGGGATGACTTATTAATTGCTGCACAAGAGGGAGAAGTAATTGTTTGTCCCTTACTCGGGTCTATTCTCGCGAAAGCGTGTGTGGAAGAATGGTTTCCAGAACTTGAGCTGCAGATCATTGGCTCTGGTGTTGCTGTAGCTGCCCTGGAGGGAGATGCTCTCGCCGCGCCCCAGAATGTTGGGTATGGTCAGCTCTGTGCGCAGGGAGCCTTCGTTCTGGCCCACTTCTGTGCCTGCTGAGCCCATCAGGCGGGAGTACTCGTTGCCCTTGAATGTGATCTCATAACCCTGGGGCGAGGCATCAGCACCGCGACTGACATCTATGTGTACGCTCACGTCCTTGAAGATGCCCAGCTCGTGCAGATAGGACTTGGTCGACATGGCCTCCAGCATGAGGTCCTGGAAATTGTCGGCCTTGAAGAGCCCGTCCGCTGCTCTCATCACATAGTCGTTGTGTGTACGCAGCAAGCCGCTGACATTGACGCGATCAACGCGAGCCGAAATTTTACCAAGATCGTATTTCGAATCATTCGAGGATGCTGACGCGGCCCCGCCGCGCTGTTTCGATTGGGGCATCTTTGAGGCGGTTCTTAGGGCAGGAGATTAGAAGTGTCTGAAAAATAGGAACAAATAAAGTGATTTAATTAATGTTCAATTTTCTATTTATATCCACAGATTGAACTGGAGAATCTCAATAGTGCTACGGATGAGATAAACAAGCTGGAAATCGAGTTGGAGGTAAGAGATGAATGGCTTACAGCCTATAGATTCCTTTACTCATGCTTTGTCATCCACAGGAGGCCAATTCAACGTTTCGGATTCTGTTGAACGAGTCCACACGCCGCCTGAAGCTCTCCTCAAAGAAGCTGGGCAGCTGCATCGAGAAGGCTCGACCCTACCATGAAGCTCTGGAAAAGGCACGCGAGGCACAGATCGAGTGCCAGCAGGCAGCGGTTAAATTCCAACGAGCCAATGGTGAGAAAACACAGTAAAAGATGCCAAACTTTGGGTCACTAACACTCGATATTTGCCCCTTTTTCATAGAAATTCATGCCGCGGCCAAGGAAACGGTGGCGCTGGCCGAGCAACGTTTCATGTCCAACTCACACGAATGGCAGTTCGACAACGCCTGGCAGGAGATGCTCAACCATGCCACCCAAAAGGTAATGGATGCCGAGACTCAAAAGGCCGACTGCCATGCCGAGCACCAGAGACGTACACGTCTCTTCCACGCGGCCGAGCAGAAGTTGCAGCAGCTTGAGGACCGCTTCAGGAGGAGCATCAACAAGTCGCGACCCTACTTCGAGGAGAAGCAAGTCTGCCAGGATCAGCTGCAGACCCAGAAGAATCGCATTCAAGAGCTGCAACAGCAGGTGGCCGGTGCCAAGAGCACTTATTCAACGGCTTTGCGTAATCTGGAGAGGATTAGCGAGGACATACATAGGCAGCGCGGGGACTTTCCCACACCGACGGGACCCCGCGAGCCGGGCGTCGGAGCCGAGCTGAACACGCCCACATCCAGTGCGTTGCCCTCGCTGCCGGACTTTGAGATGGAGCTGGAGAAATGCGACTATCCCTCCGTAGCCGGCAGTCAAATGTCCTTGGCGGTAAAGCAGGCAGCAAACACTGCGGAAACTGAGGACGAGGAGGATGCCTGTGACTACGATGAGACGGGGGCTAGAGAATTTCGAGGCGCGGTCGACGAAGGCGATCTGGAGGCCCTGCGTCAAAAGGTAAAAATCCTCGCAGTGCGCCCAATCGAGGGCGGGGATGGTCAGCAGCAGAACGATGTCTGGGAGCACGAATTGAAGGCCACGGTGGATAAACTGGATCACCTAATGATGCTTAAGGAGGCAGCCAAGCGGCAGCAAACCGAACGGATGAAATCAATCGAGCAGCGGCCCGACTCCCTGGGAGCCGAGGCCCTCAACCGTCACTGCGATGTTGTGGTGACTATCACAAACACAACCAGCTTGCCAGTCACGCCCCAGCATCATCAGCAGGAGCCGCCCACTCCCATCAAGAAGCTGCAGCAGCAGCTGGCCCCCTTGCCGTCGGTAAACGTCTCCATGCGGGAGCTGCCACTGTTGGCGCGTCTCTCCAACGAGCTCCTGGACCGCAGCAATGCTGCCATTGTTGGAGTGCGCCGTCAGCTACGCAGGCGTTCTCTTGAATAGGAATAGCAGGAGGAGCAGCAGCAACAGCAACAGCAGCCGCAGGGAGGGAGAGATTTGTTTATATTAAATGAATAATTGTAAAAGTTAAATGCCGCATTTAAGTACACTCTCAACGATAAGTCTACACACCTACATGATATATTTTCGTATAAATGTTGAACAATTTCTAATCTAATGTCGTCTGTATTTGTTTCTCACTGTTAATACTACAACTATGTAAATGTTTTGTGATTGAAATGCGTAAAAGGGCAAAGAGCGAGCTCTTCAAACAATAAGCAGCTTTAAGTTAACTTTAACATGAATAGAATGGGAAAAATCACTAATTTAAAACGAATGTGGGGCACATGCACTAAGTAGTTTTGCCTAAAAATAACACAACCCATAAATAAATCAATTATAAACCATTTTCGAAGTGTAACAACATTTAATTAGGTAATTAAGTGGAAGGAACTCTCAAAGTGAATAAAGATTACCCAGATCTGTAGATGTAGTCCGTCTAGACCACAAATAAAAGTATTTCTAGAATGGGTAGTAAATATTCATGATATTGATATCCCAAACTGAAAAATAAAACATTAACTCTAATTCACAAACATAAACTAATGTGTGTTTCTGGGGGGAAATCCAACAAAGCTGCTGCCATGCCGAAGGTGCACTGGCATTAACGATTCGCCGCCCCCAAAGCTGATGCAATTGCAGGCATAATCAACCGAAATAGTGCAGCCGAAAATACACAAAGAGTGTGGCTACTGAGAGGAGCTCTAAAATCGAACAATGATGTCATTGGTTGTGACAATTGCGAATTATATTGGGGTAACTTAAAAATTGCGGCCAAAATTATGTAAGCTAATCGAATTGTCACCAAATGTAATCCATCAGCCGACTTACCTGAGTGGTTTCTACTGTTTAGATGAGCACACGCGGAAATCGTACTTAATTTTGACTAGTGTAGGGTGCTCGTATAATATAAGAATGTCACAGTTTTAGTTTAAAACAATTTTCCCCGATTTACGCGTGTTTCGGCAAAACATCAACAATGTTGATTCGATGACGGGGCGGTCGATATTTTCTTGAGACGGATATAATCGTTGTTGGCATCGATGATTGTTGATGTGGGCATGCGAGTTGTTGCATTGGCAATATTCTTATAATTTAAACAACATGAAGCTTAGTAAAAAATTGCTGTCGTATGTAAGAGTTTAACAATGGATTGATGTGTAAGTGTAAGAGCAAAGGCAACAGCCCTAGTGTCCGATAATGTATACTAAAATATACCTTCTCATTCTCAAAATATACCGTGTTGCCACATCGTGGAAAATCGTTCTTCAAAGTTGAAATTCATTTTGGCGTGGGGAATTTCTAGTTTGTACCCAGTTTACCGCCAAATATTTAACACCATTACTCACAGAGTAATTTATACAAATATTGTATAAAATGTACGTGATACCGGAACCTTATTCAATATTATTGATACTTACCCTCACAGCAGAGGCAATTCCCATCCCTTTTGCAACCTTGTTTAGAGGGAAAACTTTCACACAAAGGTGGAAAAGTTCAACGTCAGTTGGCTGAGATCTATACAAATTGACCGAAACACGTCGGAATTTAGAGATTCACTCATGTTTGTGCACCCAAGTTGGTTGATATTTTGTAAAACTCTTTTTTTTCAAAGCGCCAGTCAAAAGTTCGGTTAGCTTTTAATTATGGGTAAAAGTTGATTGTGGCTAGAAAATGGCCGTAACTTGCAGCAACTTCAAGGGTCCACCTCAGTCCAGTCCAGTCCAGTCCAGCTCAATATGAATGGACAAAGGAGAAGCCAAAGAGCAAATTTCTCTTATTGGCAGCAAAGGGGCTGACATAAATTGAGGTGGAAACGATTTTTAATTTCAGATAAACTGGCTGTTGACTACGCAATGGAGCAATGATAAATGCATTTCCATTCCAGCAGCGTGGGCGTTTGTGTCCGTCGCCGTAGTGGCGAAGGAGCCACATTCAAAATGTATGCAAGCCGACAAATCGTCAAAGCAATTAGGTTATTCGGGGAAGTCGCTGTGACCACGGGCGGATTTAAATTTAAATTTAAATGTTTTGGAGGCCAGAAGCTCAAGCAGCACCCGAAGCCACCACCGACATCTGGCGATTAATTCAAATAACTGTTTATCAACACGAATTAATCATGCTGTAACATGCACCAAACTCATGTTACCCCAAACAAAATGGCGTGCGGCCACGTTCCGGTCACCGTGGGTCGCCAGCACCAACCAATCTCCCTTGGCAGTGTGTTCCGCCAAACTTCGAATTTATTGTTGCAGTATTCACATTATTTCGGTATAAGTTTAGGTAAATTTCGCTTTTAGGAACATCTTTTATAATCTCATCCTGGCAAGTGGCGACCATAACAGTGGCCGCTGGCGTTAATTTTATCTCAAAACTTTAATGCGCGCGTGTGTGAGCAATTAGGAAAAGGGACACAACGTATATTAGCAGCCCATGGCAAGTGAGAGCAACTAAAATTACGATTGCGAGTACATTTGGTGGCAGTTTTAAGCGTCAGCCAGCGACTGATTGGGCTTGGAGCATGTGCTCACATATGTGCATACATATGTACGAATATTCTCAGCATTCTCCATCACGATGGAGCCATTAGCTCAATGGGGAATGGGACTCAATGGACGTTGACGCTCGTGTCTTGCCGGCTGCATGCTAAATAAGCACCAACACCAACCGACAGTTGCAGAAACAGCAGCAACAGCAACAGCAACAGCAACGGCAACAAATGGCTTGTAATTGTCAGCTGAACGGACATGTGTAGGGGAAGTGAGCGAGAGATGTGAACGATGTGCACTGAGCCACAATTTGAGGCAGTGGCGCGTGTCGCAGGAGACGTAAATAAAGTTAAACGTCAGTCGAAGGCATAGAAAAAAGGAAATGTGTGCACCAAGAGTAACTAAAAGCCACGAGAATCGGTTAAAGCATTTGAGAGGAAATTGCCGCATTTTTTCAATGTTTTTCCAAACCTACACCTGAGCTGCACTGCTGGTTCGAACAGACTAATCCCTGATACGACATTGATTGGTCAGACTCTGATTTATGTCTGAGCTGATTTATAAATTGGTTTTCGTTTCTGTTGTCCCTTGGCCACCACATGCATGTACGTGTAGTGGCTATCAGCTTGTGGCTTCCAGGAGAAATGCCTGTATGGCCCCCGGGGTCAGGCCATTGCGAAGAGCGTCTCATTAATTGACAGTTTGGCTCACCTGTCCCCTACATCCCTCTCCTGGGTGTGTGTATTTTTCCTAACGAGGTTCATAATTAGCAGCGCCTGAGCTGCTACCGTTCCGTATCAGAGTGTCAGGGTATCAGGGCGCTCCATCACTCTATCTTTCGGAGCGTGACAATTGACCAAGTGACGATTTATGGCATGGCAAGGAGTGCAGCTGGCAGTGGGGAGTCCTTAAACTAATCTGATTCAAGCACTGCAGTCGCCAAGCCATCATGGTTGCCACTGCAGCAACAATGTAACAAAATAAATTGAGCGCCGCGATTGCCGGCAATCGTCTTTTAACTCGTCTGCACCAAATTCAATTATTTCTTCCGGCTATTGCCGCCAACAGCCACTGGCGGTAGTGCTAGTAATGATATACATACACATATTAAGTGGATGGCGGTGAGTACCAAAGCTGAAGCTTCAGCTGAGGTGAAAGCAAAGGGAAATTGCATTTAGGCAGACTGTCGCCAACTGTGCACGCATTTTATAGCAGTCATTGAGCAAAGGACCAAAGGACCCAGCCCGGGGTTCGCCGAGGTGTTGCATATACCTATACATATACAAAGCATTAGATTAATGCTAGGACTGTGCCAGAGACTGTGCGAGGAAATGGAATGGAATAAATGCGGGCATTAAATGCGATTTCTTGCACTGACTACGAACAACTCAACAGAGTTATACGAGTACTTGGTCCATGAAAAACTTCAACTGCTCGTTACATTAGTGCGTCAAAATGATCCACAGACAGAGCTCTGAATTGAACCTTTTGCACAGTCCAGTCTCAAATGTACCCGTGAACCACCTTAGGGTTTGCTTGCGTTTAGTTTTTGTCTCAAATAAAATGCTTGCCGTAGCCATGAACACCTCTGCCACACACAGACACAAAGTGCAGAGCATGCATCGACTTAAGATGCAATTTCAGAGGAGAGGCAGAGCTGACCAGACCAGGGACCATCCCTCAGGAGTCTGCCGGCAGCTGGATCAGCTGCGATGGATGCAGATACATAATTGAAATTCCTGATTTGTTTTTCGTTTCTGGCACAAAGCCGGCAACATGCAGTTCTGCAGTTGCATTTTCTTTTGTGGGCAACAATTGAAAAACTCGCAAACTGTTTTCTAAATGGCATCCACACAGACGGCATGGCGTATGCGCCTGCGCCAATTCGAGTGGAACGCATTCGGCGATGGCTTGGCTTGGCCTCCTAAGCGCTGTTCTTGCCACGGCGCCTCAGTGCGATTTCGGCTCTCAAACCGGACGCTTCTGTCGGCTCTCGCTCCCTGGCAGTGAACTGGTGGCAAAAATATCGTCGAGTCCAATCCAATTCAATCCAATCCAATCCCAACGGTCTTTTGAATAATTGAAGCAACGCGTGCTGAACATCACTGCAGAGTGAGCTCGATGCAAATTGATTGCTCATACGCAGTGTTGGCTGCACAAAGAGTAGAAAAATAGAAATTGTTGCATGCTTTTAGGCGGCACAATTGTTGATTGATATTTGTTGGTGCAACAGTGCAACAGTGCAACTGTGTCTGTGGCTGTGTGTGTGATTGAAATTCGTTTTGATTAAAGCCCGCGCGTGATTCACTTGCTATGCAATCGGAAAAGTCTTCTCTTGTTGCCTAAATGCTCCAAGCCCGCTAATTGCTCAATGCTGCGGCTCGTATCGAATCTGGATCTGGATCTGACTTTAGTGATTCGCTTTGGGGTAAGTTTTTTGTGTGGGAAGGGGCATATTTATGGTGTCAACAATACGGGCGATCATCTCCAAGTGGCTACATGAATCGGACAGATACAAAACAGACTGACAGAGCGACAACAGAACACGTACTCATGTCCGACCGTTTTCAAAACTATTTATGCCTGTCGCAGTTGACTTTAAGCGCCACCCGTGTTCAGGGACACATCTTTATAGCCAGAATTGTCTTTATTGTCCCAGTCCCAGTCCCAGTCTCCGCGCCACTCTCCCTACAGTTTATTCAGAGAAATCACTTAGCAATTTGTGGCCATGGCTATGACTGGGAATCCTTTTCAGCCCTCCCAGTCCTCGTTTCTGCGTTTGTCATTGTGCAGTCTGTTTAATTTCACAATTCATTTCATGTCAATCGAATTGTCTCTGCCTCTGTCTTCCCCTGACAAGTGTCGCTATCTTTGGCACACACAAAAGGCTCCAACGAAAAGAACTCGAACGCTTGCTGCCAAGATGCTGGAATTTGATGTATTAACCGCAGCGCTGGTCTGTAGGAACTTCAGGCTTCGCTTGGAGCCGGAAATCGACCATAAAACTGTGGACGAGCCGCATTAAATTCGCCCATTTGGCTGCCGATAAACCTAATAGTAAACATCTCCCTTTGTTGACTCTATCTGAGGGATTAGGTTGTCTCGTACATGAAGCTAAACAGCTTGGAATCTGCACCAAGACACAGTTGGGGAGAAGGAAATTCTTTATGTTCCACACCTTCAGGAGAATCCAAGAACCAAATTATTTGGGTAAGGGAATTAAATTATTAGAATGCCATAAACGTGACTATTCAACCAACTCAATCGATAAAAATTGATATGCCATTGAAAGCAGAGTTCAGCATTAAAATTTAATAATAAGGTTTTGCTGCTTGTTCCCAAAAGTTTTGGGGAATTTCCTTTCATCATGCCCCGTGCCATTCACTTGATTTTGCACAGGCAGAGCTTTATCCATTCTGACCTGCTCTAGTCCTCAGTTATTTTTGCTTTATGAAATGTGAAGTATGCATAATTTATATAAATTGTCGATTAACAA